GGGCCTCTGTTTGAGCTCCTTAGGGCTGTGTAATGAGGGATTTCAGCAACAGAGATCTGTTGCCTCACAGTTCTGACGACTGAAGCCTGAACTCAGTGTGTCCATGGGACCTGGCATCTCTGGCCTCTTCCTTCCTGGCATTTCCCTGGCTGGTAGAAGCTTCGCTCCAGCCCCGGCTCCACCGGCTGCACAGCTGTCTCCATGTTGTCTTCCTCATCTAGCTCATATTCATTTTCCCTGTTTTTATAAGGACACAGACATACTGGGTTAGGACTCCAAAATCTTACCTTAATGACATCATTTTTGCTTTTGCCTGGCCCCTGGTGGGAGTGCAGTTTCCCCCTGAATCCTGTTGCCTAAGGTGAGCCAGAGTGGCTGCCCAGGAAGAAAGCTGGAGTCAGCTTTCCTTTTCTCTTTGCCCTCAGAGGGATCTGCAGGCCCTGAGTTTTCTTTTCCAGAGGGCGGTATGCCCACTGGTAAATGGGTGCACAGTCCAAGTGCCTCTGGCATTTTCAATGAAGATTTTTATTTGATTCCATGGCACACCTAGGTGACTCAGCCTTCTTCCCCCATTTGGATGTCTACCATGTTGTTCATGATCTTGAGTGGTGGCAGAGACTGGGGCCCCCCCACTCAGCCACCTGGTGACGTTAGAACTCTGGTGGCCTCATGTTACCTTAATATGCAAAGGCTCCATCTCCAAATGATGTCCCATTCACAGGAAGCAGGGGTTAGGACGCCCACCCATCCTCTTTAGGAGGGACACAGTTCAGTTCAAGACAGACTCTGGTGCCAGGCAGGGTGGCTGCAGCTGTGTCCACACAGGTAGGTGCCCAGTGCAGGAGATCCAGGCTCACATATGCTCTTCAGGGTGCACTGGACCAGGGAGAGGAAGGTGGGTGTAGGAGAGATGGTATGATGGCCTGCCTCCTGCCAGGGTGGGGAGGGCCTGGGCTCCCACCTCTGGGCCCTCTCCCACCCAGCTGCTGCCCTGTTTGCACCCTTCACTGCTGGCCCCTCTCCCTCAGGGGCCTGACACCCAAGGCCAGGATGTCTCAAACATAAAGCCCGGATCTTGCAGATTGAGCAGGGAAGAACAAATGACAAATCTGAAAACATTTATCAAGTTGGGAAGTATCTGAGTTTTCATGGACTTGGCCATTGGTTTCCATGTGGTTATTTTCTTCCTGATTTCTTCTTCTTCTTTTTTTTTTTTTGGTGAAGGTTTTTCAAGATAGGGTCTTGTGAAACTATTTGCCTGGGCTGGCTTCAAACCGTGATCCTTCTGATCTCTGCCTCCTGAGTAGCTAAGATTACAGGCGTGAGCCACTGGCACCCTGCTCCTCCTAATATTTTATTATGAAAAATGTCAAGGCCTACTAAAGGTAGAGGGAGGGTAACTTCCAGGAACAAACCAGACAGCCACATGTGTCTCTGCGGCAGTCTTTTCTATCCCTTCCGCCCTCTTTTTTTTCTTTTTTTTGCAGTACTGGGATTTGAACTCAAGGCCTAAACTTTGAACCATTCCACCAGCCCCTTTTTTGTCAAGATAGGGTCTCACAAGCTATCTGCCCAGGCTGGCTTCAAGCCATGGTCCTCCTGTAGAGAGTAGCTAGGATTACAGGTGTGAGCCACCCATGGCCGGCTTGCCCTCACTTTTATTCCTACCTGAGCAGCCATGGCACGCACAGTGCTCTGAGCTACGCTACACCTGACATGGAGTCAGGTGAAGTCCTGATGGGGCCCCGACAGCCTGGGGTCGCACTCTGCTTGTACCTACCCTTGATAAAGGCTACGTTTCTGCTAAGTTCCATGCCCAGCCAGGCAGCCAGGTAGGACTCAGACCCCTGTGTCCAAACCATGGCCCCTGGATACGTCCATGGGTTGTCCTCTGTGTGTTTCTTCACAGTGACTACAGGAATTTAAATCACATTAAGAAAAAACATAGAAGACCAAGTAAAATGTCAGTGAACAGAGTGGGACAAAAGCTACATGAGACCAAGCCCAGTGGCTCTACTCTATAATCCTAGGTACTTGGGAGTCGGGGATTGGGAAGATCACAGTTTGGGGCCAGCCTGGGTAAAAAGTTCATGAGACCCCCATCTCAACCAATTAAAGTTGGGCACAGTGGTACACGCCTGTCATCCTAGCTATGTAGGAAGCATAAATAGGTGAATTACAGTCCAGGCTGTCCCTGGCATAAATGTGAGCCCTATTTGAAAAATAACTAATGCGTAAAAGGCTGGCAGAGTGGCTCAAGTGGTAGAGTACCTGGTTGTAAAGTGCAAGACCCTGAGTTCAACCCCCAGTGTGCCAAAAAACAAAAAAAGAGACCACGTGTGGCAGTGGTCCCCCCACTGAGGGATCTTATGCACATGCAGGTTTGGATCTGTGGGGTGGGAACTGGATCTGGGGTTCTGTGTCCCACCCAGGCTGTATAGGGAAATAGGCAAACTAGGTCCTGTGGGTCAGCTGATTTCTCTGATTGTTCTCATGTTTTCTGAGCTAAGAATGGGTTTTTACATTCTAAATGGTTAAAAAAAAGACACATAAAAGTAGTATGAAATTAAGTTTCAGTATCCATAAACTTTGATCAGAACACAGCCACTGTCTATGGCCACACCACCCTGATTGCACCTGATCCTATCTCATCTTAGAAGGTAATCAGGGCTGGGCCTCGATAGTACTTGGATGTGAGAACACAATCATACCACTCCTTAATACTGCCCACGCTGGCTTTCTAAGGCCGTGTTGAGGATTTGTGGCCAGGATATAAAAAGAGCTGGTTCTCCAGCCTACCACGGCCAGCAGGGGGCCGCAGAGAGCCATGCTGCAGCAAGACCATCTGCAGGGGTCAAAGGAGAGAAACCAAGGAGTTTTCTAGTCGAGGGTCTGAGATAAGGGCCTGAGGTAGGAATGCCTGGGAAAGTAGCCTGAAGAGAAGAGGTGGGGAGGGGGTGACTTTAGTTGTGGAGGCAGAGGCAGTGACACCCAGGTAAGAAGCAATTTGGTGGAAAGGAAAGGATAAAGCCTGCAGGGCATGGGAGAGAGAGCCAGGGCAGTGGGGCCTTGGGCTTTAGGCAATGGCAAAGGAGTCACTGGAGGTCCTGGGGTGGTGGTGATAGCATCAGATTTGTGGGGAGAGACTGTGGCTTAGCTGGCTGTGCTTCAGGGCACACTTACAGCAGTCCTGGAGCAAGATGACTAAAAGGCAACCCAGTGTCCTGGGAAGAGCTAGACTCAGAGTGCTCAGAGTTCACCGTCTCTTGTTCTGTGTTTTCACCCCTGGCCTGTCTGGGCACACAACATTGCTATTTTCTTTCTTTCTGTCTCCCTGTTTTCCTCTGCCTTCTTTCTCCATGCTCACCATGGTGCAGCGAAGCTGCCGCCCTCTTTGCTTCCAGTGTACACATTTTCTTCAAGGAGGCTGTTGTAGGTGTCATTGTGTCATTTTATCCCTCGCCAGCTGGTTCTACGAGTTTAGCTCTCAGCCTTTGAGCACGACCTTTTTGTTCTGCCTTGGAGAACTGTTTCTTCATGGGGCGTGCTCAGTCTCCTTTTAGAATCAAGCGAACCCCTTTGGGAAGCCTTGAGAATATATAAGCAGACTCCAAACTTTAGATATAATTCTGAGGGTACCTGTGTTTCCTGAGGCCAGCTCAGCTAAGGATCCAGGACCTGGGGGTTACCCTTGCTTTGAGATTTGGGGCTCTATATCAAGGGTTTAATGCTAGACATTGTCTTGCTGCTCCCACAGGCTCCCCTGCTCATCCTGACTTTTTTACTGTCCCTGGCTGTCAATGTGTCCTTGGAACTGATGCCAATACTTACATCTTTCTTTTCTCTCTCTCTCTCTTTTTTTTTTTGGTAGTACTAGGGTTTGACCTCAGGACCTTAGCCCTTACAAGGCAGACACTCTACCACTTGAGCTATTCCACCAGCTCCTATATCTTTCTTTGGACTAGATCAAAGCCTTCCAAACAGATGAAGGAGGAGTTAGCCTGACCACCCAGAGTGGTGGCCTGGTGGCTTGGGCTGTTTGGAGGGCAGAGTAGAGCTTCCACCACTGCATACCTCTTTCTGTATACATGGCCAAGAAACACTGTGGCCACAGAACTGTGGATAGGCAGAGGTTTACTTCTGGGGTCTTAATACAACATGAAAACCTCTTTCCAGCCAAGTGCTGGTGACTCACACTTGTACTCCTAGCTACTTGGGAGGCTGAGATTAGGAGGATTGAGGTTTGAGGCCAGCCCTTGCAAATTGTTCATGTGACCCCTGCCTCCAAATAACCAGAGCAAAGTGGACTGGAGGCATGCCTGCTATGCAAGTGTGAAGCCTTTATTTCAAACCCCAGCCCTACCAAAAAAAAACAACAAAACAAAACAAGCAAAAAAACCCTCTTTCCTTGAAAAAACAAAAAGGGTACTATGTCAGGTGCAGTCTAATTTCAGAAATTATTAGCCAGTATAACTAGAAATAAGCAGATTACATTTTTTAAGGGGATTAATTTAATCTTCATCACAAGGAACATTTAGAGGAATATATTTATTTAATTATACAATGTTTCCAAAGGGCAAACAGAAGCTTGGAAGCTTGAATGGTTTTTCAAATTGTCCATGTTTAGAAAATCTAATTCAACATCAACTTTTAATTAAAAAAATAGTCACTTCCAACCCTTATAGCCTTGTGTGTGTGTGTGTGTGTGTGTGTGTGTGTGTGTGTGCGCGCGCACGCACGCTTGTGTGTACAGTAGCTTTAGTGGAGTATAATGTCCATAATTTAAAATTACTTGTTTTAAATGTACAAGTCACTGTTTTTCAGTAAATTGAAATCATCCCCCACGACCTAATTTTTGAGCCTTCCTATCACCCCCAAAGGATCTCTTTTTAATCACAAGAAGTGCTATTAGAAAAAGACCTTAATTTACTGCTTCCTGTATGTGAGTCACCTGAGTCATGTTCTCACTACCAAATGACCTCTCCTGCTCTCTACTCCAGGCAAACGGGACACAGCCGGGGCAAAGCTCCTGAAGTCTTATCAGAGGCTGAGGTGAGTTAGAAAGGACAGATCGTCCAGCCCTCCAGGTAGGAGTGCAGAGGACACTCTGAAAGAACTTTCTGGTCTCTTGACCTCCAGAGGTCACTGCTTTGGAATGTAACTTAAAAAAAAAAAAAATTGCTAAAGCACCTGGAAAAGATTCAAACGGAGATGTCTCCAGATTTTTGTGAAAAGCCCTCTGGCTGTGGCTCAATGTTTTGTTTAGTTTCTCAAATTCTCCTGAAATGTTCTAAGGAAACGCAATATCATTTTTGATTGGACATTCGATGACCTTCTAAACCCAGCATTTGCTTTTATTAATCACTCATATCTCTCACACCTTACCCAGTGCCTGGCACTTCAGATATTGTGGAATGAACCTTGGTGGCATTGAATAATGGTCTGAGAGATGTTAGCATCTTTGCAAAACATTCTGAGCCCCAGGAGCCTTGAACCTGGCAGTAATTGACAGACCTGATTACACTGAGAATTAAAGCACCACTAGACAGCTCCTGCCAGGTACTACTTTTTTGGCCTATGAGAAAATTTGGCTCAGAGCTGAGACAAATTCTTTTTTCCTTCCCCAGTTGTTCCGTCTTCTTATAGCTCATACTTCCAGTTTCTGTCATGGTGCTTTTTTTTTAATCTACAGTATTTTTGGCCTTTCTGCTGATGTGGTTTATAATACAAGAACACAGAAGTCCAGATGAGATGCTGTACGAGAAGTCTTGGGCCTGCCAGCCCTGTAGGGAAACTGATCTCAGCACCCTGGTCATTTCAGAACATAGAGGTGGAGTAGATGACCAGACTGAAGGTGGCAGGACATTCGTTCCCACATTCAAATGCCAGGAAGTGGTGTCCCTTACAGAGGAGCCAGGGAGAAGCAGGGTTGTCTGGTTTTTGGGTTTTTTTGGTTTTTGTTTTTTAACAGCAAGGCAGTTAAAAACAAAGAAGACTGAGAATTTGAATTCTAGAATAATGGTGCATGTGTGTTGTAAACTAGTAACTTGCAGAATTTATAACTCATTTCTTATTCCTGTGTTCTTCCTTGGCAGCAAAATTTCTGTGGTTCCTCCAACTCCACCACCTCTCAGTGAAAACCAGTGCAGTGGCAGCCCTGGCAGGGTGATGTGTTTGCATGTGTGTCCCTGGGTGGGAATGGGGGATTTGGGCCAACAGCCTTGGAGCACAGGGGTCTGACTGACTGGAGTGAGTCCCAGAAAGAGGCACAGAGCTAAGGTCCAGATGAAGGTTGAGACGTGCTTCCACCCTCGGTCTTTGGTCATGGAGTGTCTGCATTGTCAGCTGGTCTCCTTCTTTCCTCCTTACTTTTGTCTTGGTGTCAACTCTCATCCTTACCTCAGCACTGTGCCTTTGAGTGTGTGGCGATCTGGATTGGCTAGCATGAGTGTAGGGCGTCTCAGGTTGCCAACAGGTGTGGGAGTGGGGTGTCTGTGGGATTGTACCTTTTGAGTGTTTTCAGGCTCTAATGTAAAGTGGACCAGAACCATTTCTATCTAAAGAAATTAGCTGTGCAATCTTGGAGGAGTTACCTGGGTTTCCAATCTGAGCAGAAGAAATAATTCTATTTGCCTGACTTGTCTTCCATGGCTATTGTGAGAAGTCAACAAAATAATGTCTTTTGTGGGTCCTTGGAAACTGAAAAGTGCCACAGAAACATAAGGTGCTGATTAGCATCATTATTCTGTGAATTAGAGGGACAAGGATACCTATATAAGGGAGAATGCATGTGTCTTATTGATGAGAGAGAAAAAATGTACATTCTTTTCCAATTTGAAACTGAGACTATGGGGTGATCTTCAGATTCCTTCTTCTTGAGATTTTAAATTCTCTAGAGCTGTTTTAGCACCTATGTGCTTGAGACATATTTTTTGGCTGGATGGATGGATGGACAGATGAATGGACAGAGTGGATAGGTAAGGGATGGATGGATGGATGGATGGACAGATCATGGATAGGTAGATGGATGGATGGTTGGACAGAGAGTGGATAGGTAGATGGATGGATGGATGGATGGACAGATCATGGATAGGTAGATGGATGGATATACAGTAGGTCATTGACTGGACAGTAGATAGACAGTTGGATGGTCACTGTGTGGATGAATGGATGGACAAAAAGTGAATTGATAGATGATGGGTCACTGGATGGTAGGTGCAGGGGTGGATGGACAGTGGATAGGTGGATTGGTAGAGAGTGGATGCATAGACATATGAGACTCAGAGAAGGGAGCTATCTCCTTGTTGTTGTTTCTTTTCCCTTTTTATTCTCCTGTTTTGGGAGGCAGACCTCCTTGGCTTCCCACTGGTCACCTTGTGCCTTATACCACCTTCAGCCCCATGTCACCTGGGTTCTGCCCATGTTCTCTTTTGTGTAGAGTTGGTGTGGGGCCATAAGAGCAAGGAGGCTACACAGGCAGTAATTTACTTAGGTATGATCTTTGAGCCAATGAAATGTCAGTCATCATCTCAAGAGGTAGTTGTTATCTTGTGGACAGCCTGTTGATAGTGCTCTGCTCTTTAACGAGCATGCCAAAACACAGAGAGGAATGCAGAGGACGCCCGCCTCTTAGGTGGCTGTGCTCTTTCTGCCTCCAGACATGCATGCACATGCCCACACCAGCACGCACACCGAGCGCCCTCACCCACCTGCAATGTTTTGGGACTGGCAGCCTGGAGACTGCAGGGCAAATGCTGGTCATCTAACATAACTCATTCTCTCTCCTGTTTCTGTTTTAGTTACAGGAACTTGGTCAGTTTAAAGGATTTAATAAGTCCGTGGAAAATTTGTTTCTGTCTGTTAGCACCCACATGAAAAGTAAGTGAACGCCTGGGATGTGTCTTTCTACCACTACGCATGCAGGCCCGCCCTGCTGCCTCAGATAGGACTGTCCCTGGCCAGAGGAAACTCACGGCACCTGGCCTTTCGTCCCTTCACCCTCAGAGCAACGCCCAGTTCCTTGTGGGGAGAGGGGATTGCCATTTCAGACCATTAGATGACTCAGTTCCTCCTTTTCTTGCCCATCCCTCAGCAGCACAGACAAAAGTGCTTGACACATTTAGACTCCAGAGGCTGGATAAAGAAATGTAAAGACACATTGCAGTGAATCCAAAATCACAACCTGTCAAGCCCCAGGGAGCCCAGTATCTGTCATTTGGATGGAATTACCTGTCCATTCTCTTTTTCTTCTTGGTAAATTTATTTTCTTCAGTGTGCAGATGCAAGTAACCAGGGCTACCATTGCTTGGAATCCTGTCTCTTTCAGTGTCTTTCTGCTCAGACATGGTTTTTTTCCTGTTTTTGTTAAAATGCAAGTCCTAGAGAACTGACTCCTTTCCTAGTATCTCCTAAGACACCCAGATCTGGACAGGTGCTTAGAAAATGTCCTTCCTAGGACCTGGGCTCCTGGGGCATCCGGTTCTCTTTCTCTGAGCTTTCCATTCATCATTCCTCTTTCTGCTTTTGCCTGTGGATGGCCTCATTGTTGTACGTTGGCTCTGAGACAACCTTAGGATTTCATTCTAATTAGTCATCCATGTTCCCCTCAAGCCCTGTCACAAGACAATTGAAGTTAAAGCCCACTCTTCAGATAAGCAGCAACAGTGACTATCTCCTGCAACCGTCTGTCACCTTCTCTTTTAGAAAGGGGAAGAAGCCCAGTTTCATGGGCCTGTTTGGTAACAGTGCCTGGGGGTTGAAAATCAGCCCTTGTATCTGGACGGGGCTCTTCTATAACACCCCCCTGCAGTGTCTATCAATAGGGCTGTGACAGCTGCCTGTGCCTGACTCAGCTGGCTCTCTTCCCATCCACGGCCTCCTAGTCAGAACTTTTCTGCATCTTTCTGGAAGCCTGGCGCCTTCCCTAATCCATGGGATTTATGTGAATCCCTTCCTTCCACTGCAACTGGAATCTGTGCCTTGGAGTTAACTCCAATCTGAGATCCCATAGTCACCGAAATCCAAAGAGGCAGGACGCCTATACCACTGCATGCTTTCCTTCCTGGACACATACGGTGTGGTGTGCACAGGCCTATTTGAAGGGCTGACCCCCAGCCTTGCCTACACATCTGCCCACACAGCTGAGGCTTGCCAGCTCGGCACTGGGTGCGCAGCTAGAGCTAATCCGTGGGTGGAGTGAGGGTGAGGGTTTGTGGGAACAAAGCAGCATCCCTTCTCAGAATATGGAAGTCCACTGAAACTGGTAACCTGTATCCCAGGCCCAGACGTAGGGATAGCAAAAGTCCAGCTATCTGACTCCTGGGGGTGTCCACATGCCTGAGACATTCCTGCAGGATGGGACACATGGCTCTGCCTGGCCTTCATTCACCCTGCCCTCACCTTCTTTTCTCCACAGGACTACAGCATCTTGGAGGTGCTAATTCTCATTTCTTTCTAATTCACATGATCAACTCTTCATGTGTTCCTCTTGCTCTGTTTTCCTACCTATTTCCTGCAGAAGTGGGGGCAGAGGAAAGCTGGCCATGTGAAAGAGCCAAGGCAATTCCAGGAGCTTCTGGAAGTTGTTTTGCCCTCCAGGGGTTGAGAGAACTGACCCAGAGTTACAACCTCTGGCTGAGGATAGTACTCAAAGCAGTTGGAAGATTTCAGCTCTTTTTGTAATCAGTAAAGTTCTAGCATAGAGGACATTGTTTCGTGCTGAGGAGCAATCTGTTTCTTTCTGCTCCTTTCTTTCCCTAATAACACCATTACATAAGCTGGCTTGTCAAAACCTGAATTGCTTAGGAAGGTTCTTCCTCTGCCTTAAGCTGTGAACTTGAAATGGACCACCCAGGCACAAGCCTTGGGAAGGGTCTTCAAACAGATAGCTGGCAACAATCTCTCCCTAGAGTTGAGAACTAGAAAATGTCACACAGCTAGGCTGGAGTTGGCCACACAAGGCTGCCATTCAGGGTGTTATTTGGAGGGCAAGAATGCATAGAGAGATGTCCTGAGACACTTCTGGATGGTAGACTTGAGAATGCAGGGTGACATGGCTTTCTGAGAGGCTGGAGGCAAGGTAGGCAGGGTGAGTGCCCCAGGGCTTGGGGGAGAAGGTCAGGATCTCCCTCTCTAGGAAGAGAGGCTGCAAAGACTCCCCATTGGGCAGTGAGGCAGGAGAGAGCTCACAGAGAGCAGAAGCATAGGAATTCACATACTGAAATGTTAGTGACCAGAAACAGGGCTGGCCTGGAGCCATGCTGTCACTTACAGAAGCCCCTAGACATAGAGCAGCAGGATGTGCTGCCAGAGTGAGATACACACCAGATTTTGGAGACTTGGTGTCAAAAAAGTAAACTATTTCATGAATCGCTTTAATATTAATTATATGCTTTAATCATATTTGAGATATATTATATTAAATGAAATACAGAGTTGAAATCAGTGTCACCTGTTTCTTTTACTTAACGTGGCTAGTAGAACTTTTGGAGTTACACAGGTGACTGGAATTCTATCTCTTAAGTAGCCAGCAGTGCTGCTGTAAAGATAGGTGAGCGGAGGCCTTCTGGGGAAGGGAAGCCATCTTTGAAGGAAGAATCCATCTTTAAAGTGGGTCTTTCACTTCTGTGTGTGGTTCCTTCTTTCATACTCAGTTCATGTTTACTCTAGACCACTATTACACTGCAAAATCAAAACCAAAACCATTAAGTCATCTTTTTCAGTGTATGAAAATCTTATTTTCATTTTCCTTCTAAGAGTCACAAGAAATGGTATTTAGTAGGAAAATCATTGTCAGGAATCCTTAAAATGCTGGCTAGCTGTGTGTGGTTGAGTGTAAGTTCATACAAATGACCTGCCAGGGGAAGATGGGAAGGAATTCCCTTCAACTCCTGCCTCAACAGTGGTCCATGGTGGCATGTAGTCAATGTGACTACAGGGGGACCCTTGAAGGAATCCAGCCTTTCTCCTGCCCTGTCTCCAGCATACAATGTCTGGTCACCTTCCTAGTGCCTCTGTGTTCCATGGTGGACCTACCACCCTTCCCCTTCCATCAACCTTGCCCTCCTGGGCCTTTGGGTCTGTGGGTGGCAGGGAATCCAGAAGAGGGCTCCTGCAGGTCTTGGCAAAGCTGTGTGCTCCCAGCCATCGTTCCTTGTGTTTGTTTTTAGAGTTCTCCAAGTCCCAGAATGACATGACTTCTGAGAAGCATCTTCTAGCCATGGGCTCCAGGCAGTGTGTGGGCCAGACCGAGAGACGGAGCCAGTCTGATACTGCTGTCAACGTCACCTCCAGGGTATCCTCAGGCCTGCTGGGCCTCTGCACTGACCACCTTCACATTGTCATTCAGAGCTCTCCAGCCTGTTTCTCCATAGATCTACTTCTCCTGTGCTAGCAAACCTTAAGCAGTCAGAAAAATGTAATGATAAGCTCCTGTATTTGGGTAGGCCTGGCCATGAAGAGTCAGATCTTAAGCCAGGTACACTGGTGTGCTTATAATCCTAAATACTTGAGAGGCTGAATCAGGAGGATTGCTTGAGCAAGACCCATCTCAAGAAGAAGAAAAAAGAGTTCAAGGTTGTCCTGGAAACTCGGGCTTTAAGTTGAGTCTCTTTGGCTTCTCCATCCTGAATTGAAGGCCAGACCAGCAGGGCTGACTCTTGCTATTATCCTGGGGTCTCTGAATCCCCTCCCTATGGTGTGAGAGACCTTGCTACTTCCATTTAGGGCCATTAACCTTTGGTTAAAATCCATCCTGATGGAAAACATAAATATTGTCTAGTTATGAGCAAGCAGGTGAGTGTCTCCTTCTCCAGGTACCTCAGCCAAGGGAGAGATCACCTGAGGAAGGCTTTCAGGGGAATAGTCACTCTGCTTCCATGAGGATTTACCAGGCTCAAAGCTGGTGCACTGAGTACGATTCAAAGTCAGCTTTGGGGTCAGAACACCTGGGATCTAGTCCATCTGAGGTGACCTGGCTGGGGAGTTGCCAGCACCTGTTTTTGCAGGGTCACTATGGCTGTTCTACTCAGCTATCGAGGGCACATGGGCCAACAGGAGCCATGGGTGCCACTCAACACATCCCAGACTGTCCTTTAGGCAAGGGTGAGGTTAGTCATGCTCTCCTGCAGGAGTACGTACACAGTCTCCCACAGTATCAAGTCCTGCCTCTATTTCCTGTCCTCCGCCTAAGCCAAAGTGCCCCTCTACAAAATAAAGGCTCTAACATGGAGTTCTTGTAAGCATCCAGTAAGATAGTATAATATCTAAACATACTCTAAATTTCCAGAATTTTTTATGATGTGCTAGATTCTATACAAAGAGCTCTACCAGGACCATCTCACTCTATTTGCCCAATCAACCTAGGAGGTAGGCATTGCGTGTAGCTTCATTTTACCTTGAGGGACATGGAGGCTTAGAGGGGTTGAGTCCTATGTCCGTGGGTACATAGCTGGAAAGAGGAGGGCTGCTGAGCTCTGCGGCAGAGACTCTCGACTACCATGTATGTGTCTGGAAGTGAGTCACAGGTTGCTGGTTGAAATGCAGATTCCTCATTGCTGGTTCTGGGCGGGTGTGAGATGAGGAGGCTCAGATGACTTCTGTGGAGCTCCTAGGGGAGGGTAGTGCCACATTGCTGCTCCTCCAGCTGACCTGTAGGAGCAAAGTGTCTTCGAGACATATTTAGGAGACCTTGTCAGCTCACCTTGGCTTCCCAGAAATCAACTCCCTTTCCTTAAGTGGACAGATGGAGGTGAGTGTTAGCATCCATTTCCAAAGTGCTCTGTTCTGGGCCTATTCTAGGACCTTCTCCATGGCCCTTGCTATGAAGGGTGCTGTGGATTTCCTGGTTGGGACGTAGGGTGCCCTGTGTGGGGCATCTGAGTATCCACAGGCCTCACTTTTGCTTTCCGAATGATGCTGTAATATGACATCCTCAGCACATGCTTCCTTTGCTGCATGTGTCCATGGAACAGAGCCTGCCAGCCAATCATAAGGTTGTCTGATGGGCTAAAAGTGTTCAGGGGTGGAAACAGGGAGGTGCAGGCAGAGGCCCAGGGTAGAGGACCTTCCTAGGTAGACTCTGTTTCTTGAGGGTCCACTCCATGGCCTTGCTCTTAACAGGGCATGTATGACTTATTTTTTGCAGGCCTTCTCTCTCCTCACCTTAACTAAGAATATGGGTGTTTTAACTGAGCCAAATGTCATGAAGTACTTGACAACCAGGGCACAACCTATAAATGCCAAATGATTGTTGGGTTGAAATGTAAGGAGTACATCTTTAAGCAGGACGTGCATTACACATGCCTTAGCTGGTGAGCTCAAAAATTCATTTTCATCAGGACACAGTGGAGCATCTCACCAACGTTAATTATACAACATAGTGCCCTCTGGAAGCAGGGGCATTGGTGTCCCTCAATGGCTACACAGATGCAAAGAAGAAGTATATAACTTTCTTCTTCTCTTCCTGCTATGTTGCCCAAACTGACCTTGAACTGCTAGGTTCAAGGGATCTTCCTGCCTCAGTCTCCCGAGTGCCGGGACCGCAGCATGTACCACTTGTACCTGGTTTCGATAACTTTCTTAAGGCAGTGTTGTGATTTGGGGCTGTTGATTGACCAAACCCTCATGATCTCTTCCACATCAGCTTTTTTGGTTTTTTTTTGTGGTGACACTGGGGCTTGAACTCAGGGCCTTACACTTGCCAGGAGGTACGCTACCACTTGAGCCACTTTGCCAACCTCTCCAAATTACTTCTTGACCATGAACGGTGTGAACTGAAAAAACTTCTGCAGAGACCTTCACTGGAGTCTCTGTGTCCGGATTCTTCAAGAAGTAAATTCTCTTTACCTCTCCCCATGTGCATCCCAGTGGGTTTTATTATATATGTGTGGTTGACCTATGATAACGGCCATGAAAATAGGCACCTGTTAAACAGGAGGGATATATAAAAAGATGTTAGGAGAGGCAATGTCTGAGGAGGGAGCCCCAGGATAGAGGTGGAGGAAGACTTTATTTCATTGTAATCTCCTTTGTACTATGTGAAGCTTTTCCCACAGACACCCGAAATCTAAAGAAACTACCCACCTAGCACTTGGTCTTCTCCGTGCACCTTCTCCCCCAACCCTTGCTGGCCACATGCCAAAGGCTGAGTGAGAGGAGGCCAGTGGCCGTATCATTTCTCGACTGTTAAACACCTCAGGTTGAAGGGCATTGACCATTGACCCTCTTAGTGGCCCAGGAGGGAGGGGCTGCTTTTCAGCTGAAATTTGCCCTTGAACAGAGAATGTATGATTGGCCAGGTCTGAGTGTTTTCTTAACATGACTCTGCACCTGAGTCATGTTAAGTGGCTACCCTGAGAGGTGGCAGCAGTCACTGGTCTTTATTTTCTATGTTCTTAGCTACTGTTAGCAAAATCCCAAATGCACACTCTAGTTTTATATTTTGATTAAATGACATTTAGCATTTATTTATCTCCCTTCCTAAAATGTTAATCATAACAACTTTTTTGCAGAGTAGACCTCATTCAGGGCCAGCATATTGCTCTGTGAGCTGACCAAAACTAGATAGTTACTAAAATACATTAAAAATCAGAGGGGGACAATGTCCATCTCAATGACAGTGATAAACTCGTGAGGTCTTGATGCCCTTTAACTGGGTTCTGAGTCTTACAATGTCATCCTAGTCCTTTAGAATTTACTTGGGGGAAAAGTTGAACACAAATTTCTGTTTGGATTCCTTAGTCAATCAAAACAGCCCCTCAACTTTTCTAATAATCTTAAACTATTTGTATTTGCATTTAAGTTTTATGAAAGGCATTCCTGAGTCCTGGCTTATTTAGAAACATACTCTTCCCAGGGCATGAATTTGATGGCCAATACAGTGTCACTAGCAGCTGTCTCTTACAATTCAGTTGACAGTCTTAATTTGGAGGTAGTTATTACTTTAATTTGTTCTCTTTTTTTTTTTTTTGTGGGAGTGGGGTTTGAATTCAGGGCTTCGTGCTTGCAAAGTAGGTGATTTACCACTTGAGCCACACCTCCAGTCTATTCTTGTTTGGTTATTTTGGAGATGGGGACGTCTCTCGAAGTATTTGCCCAGTCTGGCCTCCAACCACCATCCTCCCGATCTCAGCCTTCCAAGTAGCAAGGATTACAGGTGTGAGCTACCAGTGCCTGGCTCTGTAATGTTCTTACTTAGCATTTTATTTATGAAAATTGTGACTTAGGTATAACTGTTGTGTTTCCAAGTTCTACCTCCAGTATCAAGAGCTAATGTCTCAGTTGGGATACTTTTTAGTCCAGAAGGGGTTTTCTCAGCCTGTCCATTAAGTGGATTGCTCTCTATTGCACTATCCACTAGAACTTTCTGCACTAATAGAAAAATGCTCTTTATCTGAACTGTCCAGTGCAGTAACCACTGCTGCATACAATGACTGAACACTTGAGATGTGTCTAGTGCAACAGAGGAGCTGAATTTACTTTATTTCAGGTAACTTGAATTTGAATTTAAATAGCCCCATGTGGGTAGTGGTTACCACATCAGAAAGCATTATAGGACAAATGCCAACTATTAGAAAAGGATTTTTATAAAACTTAGGGACACATTTTGATTTTTCCATTTTAAGTGAACAGATTGAAGCTAAAATTGCTTTTTGAGTTGAATATTATATTTCATGTGATGAAATACCAGTATCATTACTAAAGCCAAAATTTGGACTTCTTTAAGACTTTCACTAAGTCATAAGTAACTCACCCATCAATGTTCAGGGATATCCCAAAGCTCGGGAGATGTCTGCTAGGGCCCTCAGGGTGTGCGCACATACATTTCTTTAAACATGAGTGTGTCCTACTCAGTCACTAGAAGTTTGCATATTGGTAACTTCAACTAATAGATTCAGGCTGCACTTGCACACATTTGAACAAAGTCAGATATGGATATAATTTTAATTTTGTTCTTCCTTCTCCAGAAGATCAGCACACCAGATATTCTGAAACCTCTCCATCAAGAGGATCCCAGATGTTCTACCAGCCCTGTTGTGAAGTCAAAGACTCTCCCATCCAGCCCAACACCCAACACTTTATTTTCTGGGGGCTTGAGACATGTGAGTCTTATCTCAATACTCTTGATGTGGAATGTGTGGTTATCAAGATGTCAAACTGGGCTGGGGGAATGGCCCAAGTGATACAGTGCCTGCCTAGCAAGCACGAGACCCTGACTTCAACCCCCAGTGGCCCCAAAAGAAATAAACAAAAACAAAAGAACAACAGTAAAAAAACATCAAACTCAGGCTGGAGATCTAGCTCAGTGTTAGGATACACAAGGGCCTGAGTTCAATCTCAGTGCCCAAAACAAAACCATCTGAACAAAACCCATCACACTGGATTGGTAGGCAAGGACAGGAATGAACAGTTGTCTTGTGAGATGAACTGGAACTTGATTGTAGAGCTTAGAGGTAATATTTCACTTAGACTGGGTCTGGGGAAAGCCTTGCTACACTTTGGGGGCACTTTATCTTTACAGCATTTTATCGTGAACATGTTCATATATACAGAGAGTAACTAATAACAAAATAAAGGTATATTTTGATGAGAAGTTTTCAGTTTTGATGCAGTGTAACATCAAAGTAGTTTTCATGTTATTTCTGTGTCTTGTAAATGTCAGTAAGATAGTCTCTTGTTTTCATCTGAAAGTTTAATAAAAATTGAACTTTTATGTCTAAATCTATGCTCCAGCTCATTGATTCTTTTGTAAATGGTATAAAGTAAAGATTGAGGCTTATTTTTTTTAATATAGATACTTAGTTAATTTGGTATCACTTGTTTAAAAAAAAAGGACTTTCATTTCCCCCAGTGACTTTGGTGTATTTGTTGAAAATCAAATCACTGTGCGAGTGTGGGTCCTTTTCTGGGCTATGTGTTCCGCTGATCTCTAGGTCCAACCTGATGCTAAGACAATCTTGTTTTGCTTATTATAGCCTTGTAGTAAGTCTTGAAGTTGGGAAGTAGAGGTCTTCTAACTATCTTCTTTTTAAATATTGCTCTGTAATGTTTTGTATCTATTCTCTGTTTATAGACAGGTATTTTTCATTTATTTGTTCATTTGTTAAAAAAACATTGAGTGGTACTTTATACTAGACTTGTGATAGACAGCACAATAAATGGAACCTTAAATGAGGGTTATGAGAACTCAAGTAACAGTTGACTTAGTCTGTTTGTGCTTGGTAATTTATAAACAATATAAATTTGCTTCTCATGGTTCTGGAGGATGGAAATCCAAGATCAAGGCCCTGGTAGGATTGGTGTTCTGATGAAGGTCTGGTCCTCATAGTGGCTTCCTTGGTGTCCTCACCTGGTGGTAGGGATGGAAGGGCAAAGGTGTCAAATATCGTGTGAAACCTCTTTTGCAAAGTCCTTACTCCCATTCCCTGGGGTGCCACCTCTTAACATGTTCACTTGGAGATTATGTTTCAACACATGACGTTTGGAGGTGAAATAGACATTCAAATATATCAATAGTCATGGTTCTTACTCTTATGTTATGACCTTAGGTTATCAAAGACTCTCTAAATGTCAGTGTTCTCTTGAAGGAAATGGGTGTCAGAGTTTTTTTATTTCGCTGGATTGCTTTGAGAATGAAATAAATGCATAAACTCCCTGGTATAATACAGTGCTAAGAATGGTCTAGAAACAGACATCCTGATTCATGTTCTAGCTCCTTTAGTGGCAAAAAGGGTGACTCAGAGCAGCAAGTCCTTTAACCAACCTATGCCTCCAGGTGTCACATTTTTATATTAAATGGTGTTTGGCTTAGATAATAAGGCCCATTCTTTCTATCTACAAGAATGTCAATTGGGATATTCAAAAGTTGTGATTGGAGGCTGTGGGGATGGCTCAGTGGTAGAATGCTTGCCTAGGCCCTGAGTTCAAGTCACCAAAAACCAAAACAACAATAAAATATATATATACATAAAAGTCATGGTGTGAGCAGGCCAGACCATGCGTTCAAGGAAGGCTAACAGACCCGATCCTCTGAATGCCAGGAACCCAAGCCCACCCCTTCACCAGCTCCTGTGGGTGGTCCTCCTCTTTCAGAGCCATTGCTCTACACTGTCACTCCTGACCATGTGTGACCCGGCAGCATAGGTGTCACCCACAAGTTGGTCAGAAATGCAGAGTCTTGGGCCCTCCCAACTGTACTAGTCAGGATGTACAATCTAACAAAAATTCAGGAGATTTGTATGACAGCCAAGTTTGAGAAACACTAGTTGAGCCCTGGCAATTTTAAACCTTGAGGAAATTATGTAACTTGGTGAGAATTCTTGACAAGTTCAGGGCTGTGCTGCCCAATATAGTAGCCATCGGTCCCATGTGGTCATGGAACAAGTGAGATATGGTCAGTCCCACTTGCTATCTCAGCTTCAAAATAGATTTTGAGGACTTTTTAGTATGAAAAAAAAATCTCAATAATTTTTGTAGGACTGGGTGTGACTCAGTGGTAGAGCATTTGCCTAGCATGTATGAGGCCTTGGGCTCTATCTCCAGCACCACACACACACACACACACACACACAATTGTACAGATACACACTGGCATAGTATTTTTGATATATTGAATTAAAGACACTATAAAATTTAAATATAGGACTACTAGAGGTTTTTTTTTTTGTTGTTGTTTTTTGCGTGGTGGTGCTAGGGTTTGAACTCAGGGCTTCATGCTTGCTAGGTAGGCATGCTACCACTTGAGCCACTCTGCCAGCCTGAAGAATTTTATATTACATTTGCTGTAAAGTGCTGGGGTGAACAGAAATTGTTGTGACTTCCCTGCAGGGCCATTAGTAGTACATGTCAAAGGCCTTTAAAATGAATGTTCTCTTGCCTTTGAGTGGCTCTCTTTTGCTTTTGCCCAAAGTGATTTTTCTTTCCAACATTTACAGTTTTAACAGGAGTCAGGCTGAATATATAAGTAGAAGGAGGAATAACTCTTTGTTGTCCTTCTAGGCCTGAATTTTTTGATTGGCTTAATCAAAGTTGCTCAGAGTTTGCAACTTGCTCAAAGATTCTGTTTTGATTTTGGAGAAAGCAGAACCTGAAGAGTTATCAGTGATCTCAGAAGGTTGACCAAGAGTGAGCTCTACTCTAACCTTGCATGCTGAGGACAGAGCACTTCCTCGCCCCGTGGGTAGGCACAGCACTGGAACTTACTCAGCACGTCCAAGGGTAGGGCCCAATGAGCTATGAGTCCACCCTGCTTCCAGCTGTGCATCTGACTTGCAGTGCAAGCTGGTGTGTTTCAACCTGTCTTGACCTCTATTTATCTACTTATAAAATGAAGGGTGAGTCACTGTAGTGCTTCTTGGGTGCTTTAGAGTTCTGGACGCCAATTTGGAGCCTCACACCTCAACCAGTACACCCAGGGGGTAAGGCTCACCGTAAGGCTGGTCTCGGCCTGGGAAACTACATTCACACACTGGGGATTAGGTCTGTCTTCTTACTGTGTCACCAACTTCATATGTACCTCAACACTGCCCACAGCCTGATTCATTTGTCTGGTTAACTCAGTTTTTTGCTCTTCACAACAAACATTCAGTCTCTCCTGTCTTTTCAAACTCACTCTTCCTCCTCATTGTCAACAAAGAAATCTCCTTTCGTACTGCACCACGCACAGGGAAAAGAAGAGATGAAATGAATCATGATGAAATTCCCTAATCCTCCCAAGTGATGCTTTGGATGCCATCCTCCCTATCTTCTCTGTACCTTATTCTAGTACCTGTTCCTCCTCCCGCTTATATATTCAGCTTCTACTCAGCAGAATCCTTCCCACTGGCCTTAAACATATTCAGATCTCTCTTAATAAAACAAAACAATAAATGAAATCAAAACACCCCCATTCAGCCTTCCATTCCTCCCTGGCTCTCGTTTTTTCCCTTTCCTTCTCAGCCAAACTTCCAGTCTTTTGCACTTGACATATCCAGGTTTTTCTCTCCCACTCACATATCAGCCCACCCCACTCTGGCTTCCCACCCCTTCACCCTCTGCCATGACCTTCACATCATGGAATCCAGTAAAGTCTTTTGACCTCCTTTTACTTGAGCTCTTCCCAGCATCCAACACTGCTGACCTCTCCTTCCTCTATAACCTATTCTTTGCCTTCTACTTTCATGACACATTGTTTTTGTCCCTACTTCTCCGCTGGACCACTTGTCTAGCAAGATCCATCTCTCCCATTAGACTGTGAACTCACAAAAGCAGTGACTGCATATTTTTGTTCTCCATGGCCTTTTCAGTGCCTGGCTCATGGTAGATCTTCTAGAAATGCTTATGACGTTAATAAAAAAGACACTTGAAGTATTTTGACTTTTAAAATTCTCTCTGTAAATATTATGGCATAAAGGCTTGCACTGCCTTATGCCTAAAGGAGCAATGGAATTAAGACAGAAGTCTTGGGTGGTAGGCTGACCCTCTATAACTTAAGTGACCCTCTGGGTTTTAGTTTCCTTATCTGTCAAATACAGATAACAGAGTTAGCCTCACCTATTCACAGATTATGGAATAACACATCATAGTCATATGTGTGATTAATATTAACTTCTAGTAATGACACCAGTGAATTTATTAAGCTGCTTCTGGGTTGGGTGGTGTGCTTAGAGCTTTATCTACATCATCGTTTCTAACCCTATAACGACCCTGTGAGACTTCCTGTATGTCCTTGCTTATGGCTAAATTTTGTAAGAGAATCTCTAATCTGCATTTGTTGTGAGGAATATTTTATATAGATCATTAAGTCAGGTTTGTTAGTTGTATTGTTTAAGATAATTTGTATCTTTACTGATAAATTTTATTAGTTTTCTCTTTAATAAGAATAGTATATTAAAATTCCTATGGACTTGTCTGTTTCTCCTTCAGTGTTGTCAGTTTTTCCTGTATTTATGTTATTGATGTTACTAGAGTTGTTCCATCTTTCAGGTGGGTTGGCCCCTTAATCATTATAGAATACTTGTTTTTGTTTTTGAATAATGCTTCTTGATTTAAAAATCTTCTTTGACATTATTATAGCTGTATTGCCTTTTGGGGGGGTCTTGTTTACTGGTTTATCGCTTTCTGTCCCTCTACTTCCCACGTTTCTATACATTCATATTTAAGCTGGGTCTCATGTAAGCAGCATACCGTCAGATTTTTAAAATTCTAGTCAGATAATCTTTCTTTGTTGTAGTATGCAGTCTGTTGTATCTTACGGTAATTACTGATATATTTTGAGTTAAATCTGTCTTACCTACTTGTTTTCTATTATCTATTCTTTTATTTTTTTTTTTTTCTCTTTCTGCATTCCTGTCTCCATCCCCTTCCTTTCATGGTGCCTTTGGAATTAGTCAAGTCTTCTGGCTTCTGTTGTTTCTGTTGGGAAGTCATCTGGTTAAGTCCTAATCTTTCCTCCATCAAAGGCATTATATCTTTTCTCCATTCTGCAACTAATATTTTCTGTCTTTAATTTTCCACAATTTATTGTAATTCATTGTCTTTTTTTTTTTAAGTCTTGTAAAATTCTTAGCCATTATCTCTTTAACTACCTTCTGCCCATTTTTTCTCTCTGTGACTCTCCAAATATATTACATCTTTTCATTATGCCCATTAGGTCTCTTACATTTTTTTTCTGTTCTCTGTTTTCTCTTCACTTTCCCTCCACTCTAGATTTTTCTGCTGATCCATCTTCTAGTGTTCTGATCTTCTCTTTAGCTGTGTCTGACCTTAAATTAATTCCTGGAGTTATTAACTTCAGTTACTTTAATCTTTAATTGGTTCTTTTTTTTTTTAAATAGATTGTGGTTTCTGAAGAAATTCTCCATCTTGTTATCTGTTTTCTTGACCATATTAATCACCATTATTTTAAAGTTCATGTCTTATAATATCAATTCCTGGATCTGCTTTGGGTTTGGTTTTATTTTCTCCCGTTTTTCTTATTTTTACATCCTACACTTAGGATGACCAAACATCCTGGCTTACCCAAAAATGCACCTGGCGTTAGCATTTCAGGTGCTACCTACCAGGGAATTCTTCAGTCTTGAGGAAGGAAACTGGGGAAGTTGGTTACCTGTTGGTCTGGTATGCCTGGTAATTTTTGATCAAATGCTGGACATCATGTGAACATACTGAGAGTGTAGACAATATGTCCAGTCTGGGACTGAGCTGGGTTCAGTCTTTGTGAGGACTTGTCCATTTGGGGTTGACTCTTACTCCTAGTAAGAAAGCCTTTGAGGGATTTCCACTGAGTCTAGATGTTCTCCAGCCCCTCCTCTGTGGTAAACCTGCACTCCACTTTTTCTTTCTCTAGTAGGATGAAACTAGTGAAGGTATTCTTCAGCTTCTGAGTGCTGTATCCAGAGCAGCGGTTCATCAAAGGCCCTGAGTGGGTAGTAGCATCTGGTGGTGTTCTCACTTCAGGACAGGCATGCCCCTTTTCTCTGTGAACTCAGCTCCTTGAACTTTATATGCACATACCATGCATAATTGGATAGGGTGCTAATTTTTCCTCCCAACCCTGTCCAGCTGCTAACACCTTTGCTCAGTGCCTGAGTCTCCCTGTGTTACCTCATATGCATGAATATCTCAAAGGGAGAAGTAGCTCAGAGCACAGGCTGGCCTCAACGTGCTTCTCTTCTCCTTAGTATCTTAGACCCTGGTGTCCTGGCTGTCTTGGTGACTCCACAATGTCTTGGGACAGTTTGATTGTTTAACTCAGCTTTCTAATTGTTCTTAGCAGAGAGGTCAGCCTAGTAGTTTGGTTTGGCACAACTTGAAGTAAAGGCTCAAGGTGAGTGCTGTATCAATTGTCAGAATTCTTCAGTAACTCCACTCCTCCACCCTGTTCTTCTCTCAAGTTTCTTTTGCCAATCTTCCCCCTCTTCTCTTCAGTCTTCACTTTCTATACATCATTCACTCATGCTGCCTCATAACCCCATGTGTCTTTGAATGTGGACAGTTTTAAAGCTGTTTTTCATTCCAGCAGTCATGTTGTGTTGTCAGGTGACAATTTTCAGAACCAGAGACTAGGTGTGGTGAAGCTGGTTGTGTTCTTAGCACTAGTTAATTCAGGTTCCATTCCCTCTGAGGAGTTGTTGATCTGGTTTTGTTTTTAGTCTCTCTCTGGTGATTCTGAGTCTTTGCCGTAGGCTTTCTTAGTTTCTTTTCAGGGTGTTTTGTAATGTGGAGGATCTGATGGGGAAGTACAAGTAGAAAGCAATTAGACTTCTCTGTTCCTATTAAGTCAGCACTGAAGTCACTTGCATGCAAATGGTGGCAATTGTTTAAGCAAAATTAAGTGATCAGATGGTTTATTTTAAATATATATATATTTTAGAGGGAGAGTGTAGTACTTGGGTTTAAACTCAGTGTTTTGCACATACTCAGGCAAACACTCTACTGCTTGCGCCATACCTCCAACCCTGTTTGCTCTGGTTATTTTTGAGATAAGATCTTACCTTTTGTGATCCTCTTATTTTATGCTTCTTGCTGTAGCTGGAATGACAGGTGTGTGCCACAGTGCCTAACTTTTTTCTGTTGAGATGAGGCCTCATGAACTTTTTTGCCCGAGCTGGCCTCAAGCCATGATCTTCCTGATCTCAGCTTCCCAAGTAGCTGGGATTTACAGGCATGAGTCACTGGCACCTGCCTGGTTTATTTTATCTTTTAGGCATGGACACCCTGTGCTACTTATTTCCATCCATCATCCAAGCTTGGAGTGCCTTAATTTATGATGGCAGTTTTGTTTCTTATTTTTGGTACCCATAAACATTAAAACACAATTTATTGTTACCTTTGCACACATCACATACCTCATTCCATTTAGTCCTCAGCATAACCTTAGGTGACCAGTATTATTTTTCCCAGTTAGACTTTGACACAGCTACTGAGCCAGCACTGGAATCCAGGTCTCTCTGATTCCCTCTCTCAGCTCTTAGCCTCACACTGTGCTGCTTAACAATGTCTGTCCTGCCATGGATGCTATCCAGGAGTTATCTTTGCACAAGAGATAGTCCAGTTCATCCTAAGTGATCCTTGTTAAGGGATGGGATTGTGAAACACATAGGCAAAGACCATATGTGGGCAAAGCAGGGCTTTCTTGGGACTCCACACCTCCTTGGGATACAACAGATGTCACTTAGTTCGCAAAGGACAAGCTGTACATTATTAACATACTGTGTGAGTCAGGATATAGGCTTGTGAATTGTGATTTACTTGATATCTTGAAATCAGGACTGCAAAAAAACTTATCAACTGTGAAGTAATTTATTAGATCTGTCATTCTTGATTTCAGGGAAGTTTAATGAGCATTAACAGCACCTGCACGGAGATGGGTAATTTTGACAACGCTAAAGTCACTGGAGAAATAGAATTTGCTATTGGTTACTGCTTTAAAACGCATTCTTTAGAAATAAGCATCAAGACCTGCAAGAACTTGGCTTATGGAGAAGAAAAGAAGAAAAAGTGCAATCCGTAAGTTTTTTTTTTTTTTTGAAGTTTTCACATAAAATGATGTATTTTACAGATTCTAAGATCTTTTATATATATATATATATATATATATATAAAAGTCCAGGAATAACCAAAGACAATCATAAAAAAAAAAAAACAAAACAGAAAACTCCAAATTGAAAAGATTTACTTTAAGAAAGTCTTAATACAGCTGTAGTAATTCAAACTATGTATTACTGAACCAAGGATAGATGACTGAGCCAACAGAGTGGAATGAAAGTCCACCTAGACCTGAGAATGCATGGGAACTCACATGGTCAAGGGTGTCTTAAACCATTTGGGTCACTGTAACAGAAGACTGTAGACTGAGTGGCTTTAAACAACAGAAAGTTGGTTCTCACAGTTCTGGATGCTGGGAAGTCCAAGGTAGTGGCAGAGTCTGTGTCGGGTGAGCCCCAGCTTTCTGGTTCATAGAAGGCCACCTGCTTCTGTCATCACACGGAGGAAGGGAAGAAGGCCGCTCTTTGAGGACTCTTATTAGGGCACTGATTCCACTCAAGAGGGCTGCCCTCAAGCCTAATCACCTCCCAAAGGCCCCACCTCCAAATGCCATCTCAGTGGGGGGCAAGTGTCAACACACGAATTTTAAAGGATCCTAAGCATTCAGATATAGCAAGGAAGCTGTTAGAAATCAGTGGGGGAAAGTGGGCCTCAATAAATTGTGTTGGTAAGTTTGATTTCCATATAGAGCACAATTAAAATTTTGCTTCACACAATTAATAAACAGATTAAAAAATTTTCCCCAACTGTTATGAAGTCATATATCACTATTAAATGTACACTTCCCTGATCACTAGCTCTACCACTTGAACCACTGGCCAAGCCTCTCTGTTTATATCTTCTGTTCACTTTTCTGTTGGTTTGTTAGTCATTTTCTTATTTATTTGTAGGAAAAGTTTTGCATGTGTTTATGTAGTGCTGCGAATAAACCCAGGGCCCCCACTTATACAAAGCCCACAAACTACCATGGAGCTACATTCCCAGCCCTTAGGAAAATGTTTTTAAAAACCTCTTTTAATAGGTTTAAAAAAAGTTCTTTACTGGTTATCTTATCCTAGCTACTCCCTATTTTTTCAGTTATTTGTAGTGACTTGTAGAGAAGTTGGTAATCTTTTTCTTTAAAAATCTCTGCTTTGACAAACTAAAGCAGATACCTTAAAAGCAACTGAGGCCAATAGGAAAAGGGGACCAGGAACTAGAGAAAAGGTTAGATCAAGAAGAATTAACCTAGAAGGTAACACACACGCACAGGAAATCAATGTGAGTCAATGCCCTGTATAGCTATCCTTATCTCAACCAGCAAAAACCCTTGTTCCTTCCTATTATTGCTTATACTCTCTCTACAACAAAATTAGAAATAAGGGCAAAATAGTTTCTGCTGGGTATTGAGGGGGTGGGGGGGAGAAAGAGGGGGCGGAGTGGGTGGTAAGGGAGGGGGTGGGGGCAGGGGGGAGAAATGACCCAAGCCTTGTATGCACATATGAATAATAAAACAATAAAAAAAAAAGAAAAAAAAAATCTCTGCTTTTAGGGGCTGGAGGTTTGCCCCAGATGCAGACTACATGTTTAGCATGCACAAGGCCCTGGGTTCAATTCCCCACCCTGCAAAAATCTCCCCCCACGCATACCAAACAAAACAAAATTTTTAAAAATTCTGATTTTTATGTCTGTAGAATTTCCATGTCACCCAAAGGTCATGCGTGCATTCTGCTTTGTTTTCTCCCAATAGAGATTTTTTTTCCCCCCACATTTAGATCCTTTCCTATTTGGGGCTGGAGTTGATTTTCTGTGTTTGGCTTAGGCAAGGACTTCATTTTGACTTTCTTTTTGGGGGCACACTGTTTTAGTTAGCAGGGAGGAGGGTGATGGTGGGAAAAGCAGTAGATCATTGATCTAATCAAACTCCTCTGCTCTGAAACCAGCAAATAGCCCCTTTGTGCCGGAGAAAGTAAGTGCATTTCTGTAGTTTATAAGGTTCTTCAGAACTCCCCCTTATCTTTCTGGTCTTAAACTTCTGTTATTCTTCTGCCTATAACATATGTCTCAGGGAATTTGAGATGGTCTCTGTTCCAAAAATGTCCCTTGACCATTACATTTCAAAGTTCCAGAAATGCAATCAAAGCAGTGTTTGTACTTAAAAAGAAGAAAAATTAAAAATTAATTATTTAAGCCTCCACCTTAAAATGCTAGCAAAACAAGAGCAAATGAATTCTAACTAAGGATGAAAATAATAAGACAGAAGATTAGAAATCAGTAAAGTAGAAAACAGTAGAGAAAAATCAATAAACCAAATGTCAATTCTTTGAAAAGATTAGTAAAATTGACATACCTCTAGCTAAATTCATCAAGATAAAGCAAGAGAGAATACACAAGTACTAATATCACGAATGCAAGAAGAGACATTGCGAAATGAACTTAACAGTTACAAAAGCATAGTGAGAGGCCACTGTGTAAAACTTTATGCCATTAAATTTAATAAGTTAGATGAAATGGGCACGTCTCTTAACATGGTTACTGAAGCTGACATAAGGGGAAATAGAAATCTTGAGTGGTCCTCTATCTTTTAAAGTGATTGAATTGGTAATTTGGCATGATCTAGTGAAGCTGAAAGTGCATATACCATCTGGGGATGTAGCTCAGTGGTAAAGTGCTTACATAACATGCACAAGGATCTAGGTCCAAGTCCAGCACTGCACACATGCACCAAAAACATGTCACTTTAGTTTTGTGCCTGGAAAAACCCTTGCATGGGTACAACAGGAGCATAAAGGGATGATCATAGCAGAACTGCTCATAATTACAAAAACTAAGTCCTAAGACCCTTTGAAGGGTAATAAATTGTGACATTCATGCATGGAAATAGTATGTAGGAATGTAAGTGAATGATCTGAGACTACACACAGCACTGTGGATGAATCCAAAGCATTATATTGAGTGGGGGGAAAAAAGCAAGTCATAGAGGAATATATATGAATGGTTATATTTATATAAAAGTTCAAAAACAGGACGCTTAACAGTGGAGCTCTTTGAGGCTCCCATGAAGAAAAAGGAGAATGAGTCATGGGTTTTCCAATTCCCCTTTATTTTTATGGACAGTGCCAGGTGGAGGTGGAGGGAGGGGAAGCTGGCACTTGGCCCCAACATCCAGGCAGATTGGAGAATCTGTTCTGAGGTCTTTTTCAAATGGCAGCTGAGGAGGGGATATTAATTCCAGGAGAAGGGCATGAGTGAGGCAGGGATCTACTCCCACTCTTCTAGGAATATTTGAGAGGATCACACAGCCAACATTTCGCCGAAGTCATGTGAATCAGAAGCTGTCCGCTCTGCATTCACATTGCTATGCCTGCCATGTACACTAAGCCCTTTCTATCGACTCAAACTCCAGCAGAAAGCAGGAGAAAGGACCCATTGACGTGTAGACTGTGTCCCCTTGAGCTCTTGGTTCACCCCATGTGAGCGCTTGTCTTGTCCTTCCACATTTGCCCGCTAGGTATGTGAAGACCTACCTACTGCCTGACAGATCCTCCCAGGGAAAACGCAAGACAGGAGTCCAAAAGAATACGATGGACCCAACATTTGAGGAGACCTTGAAGGTACTTGCTGGGCAAATTTTCATGAGCTGAGTCCTCCCCACCCCAGGCTGGGCACAAGGTCAGAGTCCAATGTGGCTTTTAAAACTCTTGAGTCAGTTAGACCTAAGTGCAGACCCCTATACATTTCTTTGTGGCTCTGTCAATCAGTGGCAAACTGGCAGAAAAAAAGACATCAGCCTTGGTACAGGAAAAGTGCGGACTATGCCAGACTTGAGCCTGGCTCATGATCAATGATTTCTGAGAAGATGGTGGAAAAGAACCTGGCTGCCAAATGGGCACAGAGTGACTTTAAAAATTGGTTTGTCTTGTTGCAAACAAGTGTCAGGTGACCAAGTGTCTGAGTATCAGAGGGGCATTTTTAAGCAGGGGCCCTGTAAATGAAACCACTAAGTTCTATCTTGGTAGTGTGACTTCTTTACTGTAATATCTGAAAAACTCAGATTTCTTCCTGTTTCGTTTTAAGAAATGTCATTTTATAAAAAAAAAAAATTATCAAGGAATTGTTCGGATTTTCATTTTCATTGAGGCTAAGAAATATGATTATGGTTTAGGATGGAGCCAGGGCCTCATGCTCTACTTTTGGGTGGAGAGGTGGAGTGGAGGCTGGGCATAGGCAGAGAGCTGGCTGTGGGAATTCCAGCTAGAAGGGCAGCCTAGACCTGGGGGATGCCCCAGTTAGGACTGGGCAGCCTGAAAGTCCTGCTATCTCATGCTGGCGAGAAGAGAGGGCTTTGTTTGCCTTCCTTGGCAAGTAGGGGTGTCTATGAACTGGCAGCCAGAGGCCATCTGGGTGGCTGGCACAGTGCCTCGAATTCATTAAATAATAATAGCCATTGTTTGCTGGGCCCCTGCTGTGGCCAAGAGCTGTCTACGCACACTGAGATAGGCATTAGAGCCCTCATTTACCAACCAGAAACTGAGTCTTGTGGAGTACTTAGAAGCCTAGCTAAAAGCCAGGGTGACCTGGCAGTCCTTCTTAAAATTCATGTGTGTTGGCATCCCCTGGGGACTTTTAAAAGTCGCAGATTCTGACTCAGCAGCTGTAGGTGGGGCCTGAGATGCCCTGTTCCCACAAGCTGCACTGCACACTTCTATGCTGCTGGTTGGGGCTGGCCACACATGCATCCTGGTCACAGACCACCTGGTGAGTCACATGCCTGCTGGGAGAATTTCGAAAACTATGTGTCACCTCACACATTTTAGGTTGATATCTAAAAGCACTCATCATAAGCTTAATAAGGTGTTTTTCTGCTAGACAGAGGTTTATGAAATGAGACAAGGACTGTTTTAGATAAATATTTAATTATATAGTTCAATTTAAAAGTTTTACCTGCCTTATTTAAATTATACACAGAATCTCAAAGAAATCACTGCCAGGCTGGCAGAGTGGCTCAAGTGGTAAGAGCGCATGTCTACCAAGCACAAGTTCAGTCCCCCGTTCTGACAAAAAGTCAAAGAAACCACTTACAATTATTTTTACCCATGGGTCTCCCCGTCTATTGTGAATAGTTTGTAGTCTTGGGAAACTTTCCAGATAGGTTTGAAAGAATCATGACTAATCTAAATTCAGAACATCCCAACACAGGCCAGACTTAACCTCAGGTAAGATGGAAAAGATGGGGGATGAGGGAGTCCATCAATCTTTCAAAGTCTTGCAGAAAGCAGTATTTCAAATTTCCTCTATGTTTGGTACTCAGGAGATCTGTACACCTGGGGCAGGCCATCAGGGAAGAGTAGGGTAGGTAACAGGCTGTATGAACCATCTCTGGCTGCTTTTGAGACAAGTTCATATGAAAGTTGAGACTCTTGAAATTGGTTATCAAAAGTTTTCTGGACAGAGTGCTCCTTCCAGCGCCCTCTGGACTCCAGGGAGCCTTGTAACCCATTGGAGACCCTTGGAAGGGGTTTGGGAAGAACTGACACAGTGGGCCTAGGTGGTCTTGGTTATTGCCTGCACACTCTTGGAAACTCCTAACACTCCAGCAGTGTGTAGAAGACCTCAGGGGACCACAGGGCAATGGAAAATAGGTCTGTGCGATAGAGCAGGTTCAATCACCGGAAGGAAGCAGTTCTGTTTGTCAGATGGGGTGAACAGCCAGTGAGACCTAAGGAGAAACAGACTTGAGTGTCTGAGATAGTCAACTAAGTGGCTGTGAGTCTCTGGCCACATCGTGGCATTGTCCAGAGGGTCCCAAATGGTCAAGATTCAAACCCCAGCAAACGCTGGAGTTGCAGCAGCATGGAGGTCAGGTCAGAAGTGAGAGCTCAGGGCTGCCTGCCACTGATGGCTTCCAGGTGACAGGAGACTCTGAATTTCTAAGCTTCTGTGTTTTCATGGGCAAAATGTAGACTGATGATATTGACCTCATAGGGTACTTGTGGAAGGTAAAGATCAGTGTGTCTAAGATGCTTGGGACAAAATGACAGTCCAGTAACTTGTACCTTGTGTTCACTATTGAGAAAACCCAATTAATAGGCATTAAGCTAAGTCCTTAGGGGCTGAGATGGAATGAGGCTCATACCTTTAGAAGGGCCGTGCGTCACCTACCCTCAGGGGCCTTTGACCTCTGGTCTCCTGGCCCTGCATGCTGTCCACATGCATCATCCATGTAGGGCAAAAATATAGGGGTAAAAGTTCATACTTTGTATTTCCTTTAATATTATTATTTGCTGTACTGGGAATTGAACCCAGGGCCTCACACATGCTAGGCAAACACTCTATCACTGATTTACACCTCCAGCCTCTATGATTTGTATTTTTTAAAAATAAAAGTCCAGTGTTTAGTACTTTTGGATGACAATGGCTAGCTGCAGTGTTGTCCAGATGCAAGTTCAGATTCTGCCTTGGCACAGTTCTTGGCTTGATTTCCAGGAGCCCCGGGACTGGGTGTGGACTTTCATCCTTGTTCTGTTCTAAAAAAGTGTGGAGTAGAGGTGAGGGCTGGGGATGTGAGGGGGAGCACTCAGTGACTGCAGACCCTGGGGCACTTGGGGAGTAGGCAGAGGGCCTGTCTCTTCCCCCAACTCCAAGCAGCTTGGCCTACCCTACCACACCAGGTCCCTGGCTACAGATGAATGAGAGAGACATCTGTGCAGGCCCATGAGAGCAGGGTCAGGGGACCCATCTGACCGTCTCTGCTCTGTCTCTGCAGTATCAGGTGGACCCTATCCAGCTGGTGACCCGGCAGCTGCAGGTCTCTGTATGGCACCTGGGCACACTGACTCGAAGGGTGTTCCTTGGAGAAGTCATTGTTCCTCTGGCCACATGGGATTTTGAGGACAATGCGACACGGTCTTTCCGTTGGTATCCACTTCGGGCCAAGGTGATGTCTGGTTTGGGGCTGGGTGTCCTCCATGCCCACCATGTACACACTGTTTCCCACTCCTCTGTTGTCAGCTTGAAGGCAGGGCTGAACCATCTGTGGACACCACCTGGCATGGGGTCTGGGCGAAGGAAGTCTGCTGCCAAGCTTGTCTGAACCTCCTTTGGAAAGCAGGCTAGAAGCAGAGTGTGCCAAGCCAAAAGGTGTCCTTAGTGCTAGCTAACGGATCAGGATCCTGGTGCTGGATGGCAAGTGTTGCTCACAGGCCTGTTCCTGGGGCTCTGACAGCAAGGTGTCCTGGAACTGGTCCCTGGTTGCTAGATACTGAAGCTGCCATATCTCAGTTGGACCCAAGGGCCAAGAAGAGATGTTTTAGCACAGATGGAGGCTGGCCCATGTGGGCTCATAGGACCTCTGGGCCCTCTGTGGTTCTCCTGAGAGCTGCTTCTCACAGCTGGTGGAATCAAATACTGCATATAGACCCTTCCTAGCACACTCCTCCTGCCCCCAAGTGGAAAATTGATCGGATTTCATTATCATTTCTTCTCTGGGCCCATCTGGTTTGCTGGGGTGGCTGCGTCGGCCTCCCAGCTGGGGGTGGTGAGTGGGGCAGACACAAGTTACTATAGATAGGGGATGACTAGTCCACCAGCCCCGGACTCTCCCAGGCTCCAGGTTTTGCAAGGGTAGCCAGGGAGTATTTATGGACAGAACTGAGACAACCAGAGCAGCACAGAAGGTTCTGGGGCAGTGGCAGGCCACTGGGGGAGGACCCTGCCTCTGAAGTCTTTCTCTTGCCCACAGGCTGAGAAATATGAAGACGGTGTTCCTCAGAATAATGGAGAACTTGCTGTTCGTGCCAAACTGATCCTCCCTGCAGAACCCAGAAAGCTCCAGGAGTTGCAAGAGGGTGGGTGACCTCCTGCCCCCTGAGCATTTGTCTGATCACTGTCCCCAAAGCCTGGAAGGAAGTTAGGCCGAGAGGTGGGAAAGGTTTCCTAGCATTTCCTTCCCGCTGCCCACTGACCCTGCATGCCCCAGTAACTCACTGAGATAGGAGGTGGCCTGGGAGAGGGTTCCCCGGAACACACAGCATGAAAGAACATGAATAGCCAGACCAGGCAAGGCCTTTAGTGCCCACTCTAGTGACACTGGCCCCAAGGCCTCCAAGGGGCAGACTGGACAGTCTCTAGTGAAATACTCCACAGCAAGGCGCATCCTGGGTCAGAAGTCTAACTCTTCTGGAACCAAGAGTGCTCCTCAAGGTGCCGAGGGCTCAGAGGGAGCTGCTGAAGATTTAACTCAGATGATGTGGAGCGTGTGGCAACCGAGAGGGTGGAGAATGCATATTTCCACTGAATGTAGTGGCTTACTGTTTGGCGGGAAGAGGAAATTCTGCTTCCCAGCTCATAGGACTATCAGTGACTCCCATTTCCACAGAACCAGAGTGACACCTTCCACTTCTCTTCTCCCTGTGGGGTCCCTGTTCCTCGCTGCAGCTCCCACCTTCACAGGCCAGTTGCGCCTGCTCGGGAAGGTGCCTCTTTCCCCTGCTCCTGGGGTTGAGGCTATACAGTCCTCTCAGTTTTGGGGACATTGGTACTGTATTCTAATACATTAGGAGAAATAGTTCTGACTTAAGCACTGGCTTTCCTTCCAGGGACAGGAGATCAGCTGGCACTTGATGGTCAACTCTGTTTGGTAGTGCTGGGAGCCAAGAATTTACCTGTGCGGTCAGATGGTACCTTAAACTCATTTGTTAAGGGGTAGGTATCAGATGTAACCAGATACGGTGCGCTGATTCTCCAGTATACATACATACGGTCTTAGCACCTGCAGGAAATACCAAAGATATGGGCCACTTAAAATTCATCTTATTTTAGCTTTCCCATGAAAATCCAACAGTATATATTAAGGACTCTGATTTCCAGGAATTCACAGATGTAGACATGCTGAGGTTGATTTTTAACCTGAAACCCCAATCTTGTCAGTTCTTATATCAATCAGTTTTGAAATCAGGTATGAAAAAGTGGCATGTTCCATCAACAGTTCCTTAGCTTGACACCGCCTCTTGGATTAAGTGTCACATGGATGACTCTCCACATTTCTTAGTCACTACAGGTGTGTTGCTATCTCCAAGAAAAAACAAAAACCAGTAATTACATGGAAATGTTAACTCCCAGTCACTGACAGAATGGGAAAGCAAAGCCTGCCTTGTCAGGACAGAAACAAGCTTGTGTCCTAACCCTGTCACTTCTGTGTGTGGCATGGGCAAGTTACTTACTTAGCTGTTCTGAATGTATTTCCTGAGGCGAACAGAGCAACGTGAGACCACGTGAACACGTAGCCCTGGTCCTGGGGCAGCAGTTCTAATGGACTGTGCCATCAAAGGGTGATAAGGATGCCAGTAAGGGCCTGCGGGCCTCAGAATTCCCACAGCCTTCATACCTGATGCGGATGCTCTAAGGGACACTGGGAACATCCTGGCAGGAGGGCTTGGGGCCAAGCCTTGCGCTCCCGTCATGCTCTAGGTTTAGAACGCTTACTTTGTGTGGATGTGGCACTTGCATGTCTGCTCTGCACTGTGTGCGGCACAAGCGCTAGGGAAGGAGGCTGTGTGTTCAGATTGTGACCTCAGGCCTTCTATTTCTCCTCTTCAGCTGTCTGACTCTGCCAAACCAACAGAGACTGCGGCTGAAGTCCCCAGTACTGAAGAAGCAAGCTTGCCCCCAGTGGAAACACTCCTTTGTGTTCAGTGGTGTAACCAAGTCTCAGCTAAGGCAGTCAAGCTTGGAGTTGACTGTCTGGGACCAGGCCATCTTTGGTATGAATGACCGCCTGCTAGGGGGAGCCAGACTCAGCTCAAGTAAGTCTATTTGTAGGGTCCTCATGTGTCCCCTCATGCTTATCAAATAGTGAAAACCACAACTTTGTTTTGTCCATGACCATCATCTTATGTGGGTACTATAAAAAGAAAGAAAAAAGTTCCTACAGCGGCAGTGACTTAGCTAGCTTTAAAACTGCCTAACCTGCCGTGAGTGGGGAGTCCTACGTCCAGGTCTAATCATCTGCCAGGCACTAATACAGCAAAGTATTTCAACAATTTGAATCAGATTTAGATCCGCTAAAGAAACAAAAGCTTTAGGCCTCAAAACGAGCAAGGCACAGTATTTACTTTTGTGTCTGGTGTCAATCATAAGAGGATTATTTTCTCAAAGGAAAATATCTTTAACTCAAACAAATGGCAATTCAGAAAGGGCCTCATTGAGAGTAGGACAAACAGTGACACTATTCAATGTTGCTCACCAGGGGGGCTGCTGGCATTGTGTAGGCAGGGAGGCTCTGCCCCCTCACCGTGACAACCAAAACACCTGCACACATCTCTGCTAACCTCTAACTACGAAAGAGGAAAAAGATTCAGTTTTCCAAAGGAACTCTGTCAAACCCTCTGGATCTGAGATGGCTCCTACCACCCACAGCCTCCAGCTTAGGTTGTTGACTCCCTACCACCCAGACAGTCATTCTCCCATTAGACTGTGGGAAAGGAAAGGTCAGGCTCCTAGGGTCTGTGAGGAATGTGTCAGTGCTCCTTGTTTGTTCCCAGCACCTGTTGTGCTGGGAGGCCTTGCTTTTACTCATCTGTGGTCAGTATTTTCAGTCCTAAGAATTGGGTGGAAAATACCTTTCTTGCTGGTCCTTGTTTGTAAGAAGTTGAGAAGGGATAAAATGGTGTTCTCACCCACCATTGCTAATTTGTCTCACATTACAGAGGAAGGTGCAGTTGGTGACATGGACTCATGCTCACAGTCGAAGCTTCAATGGCAGAAAGTACTTTCCAGCCCCAACTTATGGACAGACATGACACTCATCCTGCACTGAAGTGAAGCGTCAGGCTGCAGTGGATGCCGAGGTGCTGTGTGCCTGCAAAGGGCTGTGGGGTCTGGGACCATGTGCCTAGAGCACTGCTCCACATCTATGTGTATTTATGTAACATGTTAATTACATGAGTAAGTCTCAGGTGGGTTACTGTCTGTTCTTTTAAGAGTCATGGAAAATGGCCAGATTTCAGTAAGTGTTCAGCAATCACCCAGGTTTCCCAGTGCTTATCACTAGTGAAAACCATAGTTTTGTCATGCGCATTTCAGAGAAAAATGAGCCTTGTGTGTGTCCCATCCCTCCTGCTCTCCGTGGAAAACCTCTCAGAACAGGCTAGCCAGCCACACAAAGCTAGGGAAACTGCTGCTTTCTAAACGGCCAGCTCTAATGTTCCCAAGGACTTGGGGACCCCTCACAGGGGACTGCACAGAACCCGGGCAAGTCTCCAAAGTCCTCCCAGCCAATGCAAGCAGACACCCACTGCTGACATTGCCTTAGACAGCTTTTATTGTGTACGTCTGCAGTGTGGGATTCACCTGCACATAACATTTAACTAAAAAGGACAACACAGCGCACGAGAAGGGAGGTGGAGTGTACAGAATCAGTGGCTTACGAAGCAGATGTTTAACAGTTTTCAGAGATGTGGATGAATGCAAACAAGTCAGAAGGAGGTTCTTGTGATAAACAGGTCAGAGTCCCTTCATGGCTGGAGTCTGAATGATCTTGTCCAAACAAGCAGCTTAGAAAACTGAAGCGTGCAGTTATATGCACAAAGAACACTAATGAGAAAAACTGTGTACAGATGTGATTACAGCAGGTAATCAGTTTCACAACTGTACTCACGTCACATCAGATCGAGTGCCGTGGTTACATGGTTTTTCATATGTAGTTCTTTTATTCTGTAAAAGGTAACAAAATATACAGAACAAAACTTTCCCTTTTTAGAACTAATGTTACAAACCCACATTATCACATATATATAAACACTATGCTCTATACTGATCATTAGTTAGGTATACAAGTCCAACAACATTTTCTAAATGGTAAGCAAGACAACACAGTGCATCGGAGAGTCCGGTACCGTTCACTCTGAATGACCACTGCAGACTGAGGCTGCTGAACTAGATGTCTGGAAGAAGGAAATCATTGTGTTGGGAGAGTGCTTTGGGCTCAATTTCCAAAATAATTTTCACCCCTTAGAACACAAACATATGCAGATGGACCCTTCATAGAAATCAAGAACAAATCAATGTGAGCTCATTTCAAAACTAGAGACAGTATGGCACCCATGTGAGCTACCACGCGGTTTTCTTTAACGATCCTGAACCTTGTGTCACATGGGCCAGCGTGAAGTTTGTCACTCAAACTTGACAGGCACTTAATCCCATCTGTCCTGCTTCCAGCATGAAACAGGAAGTGATTCAATAACTGTCATAAAAATCAAGCCTGTTTGGCACTATGATACAGCTGAGAAAAATAAACCAGGGGAGCTTCCACTGGTTTCCGGCTCAGAATACCTCTGCCGGCAACTGCTCTTTTTTCAAGGGACCCGGAGTACGTTCAGGGGGTTTCTAGATTTAGAGTACTAAAGAGCCAAGTGTGGCGAGGCCGCCCGGGACGCTCCTGCAGAGCCCCGCTATGGGGCGCCCTCAGTCCTGGACTGGCCTCTACATGGCCTCGAATTCGTCGATGCGCTGCTTGGTGTTGCCCTGCCGGATCTGCCGCAGGGTCTTGTATTTGTCCCGGCCTTGCCTCATGTTCTCGTTGTGGATGATGTCATTGTGGGTTCTCTTATTCTCGTCTCTGGCCTGGGACAACTCATTGCTCAGAGTCTGCAATATGAAGCAGCATCAGTTACCGACCCATCCTCCGTACAACATCACAGTGACACCACAATGAAGAGGTTGGGAGATGTAGACCCCTCCCCTAGGGAACGTGGAAGAGCAGGAGAGGGTGCTGGTGGGGACAGCTCAGGTGATGGTCCTATGTAAAGCCCAGATGAAAGCTAAGCCAGCCCCCAGAGGCCCTACGCCCCGCTCACCAGCAGCTGCCGCTGCACACGCTCGTTCTTTTCAGCCTCGGTGATACGCTTCTCCTCGTTGCGGTCGTCCAGGATGCCCTCACTGGAGAGCTCGGCGCTGTAGCCCATGGGCTCGGCACCCTCCTCCTGCAGGCTCTCATGCACGTGGTAACTCACTGGCTCGTACACTGGGGGTGGTGGGGGCGGGGGCACGGTCATCACCAGGTGCAGCTCCTCCTTGGTCTTCACCAGGTCGTCCTGGGCTTCTTTGGCCTTTGGGGGGCAAATTTTTCAACGTGAGAGAGCCTGTCCTCACAGCCCCCATGTGGGGATCCTTTTCTTTAAGAAATGGTGGAAAGACTACTAAGGGGTGAAGAGGATGGAAGTACATTACATACATACACATGAAGACGGCATAATGGAGCCCACCAAACACTGTTTGAAAAGGTGGGGGGAGAGGGGGAGGAGAATGGAAATATAGCGGAGGGGTAAACTTGTTCAAGGTGTACTGCACACATGTATGGATGTATGGGATTACCACAATGAAATCCCCTTGTGTTATTAAGGTATGATAACAGTGATGGAAAGGAAAGGAAAAAGGAAAGGGAAGGGAAAGGGAAGAGAAAGGAAGGAAGGAGGGAGGGAAGGAAGGAGGGAAGGAAGGAAGGAAGGAAGGAGCAGCAGGGTGGTGTCCTGGTGAAGGGCACAGGGATTTGGAAGCAGCAGGGAGCCAAGCTGAAGCACTGCTCAGAGGACAAGGTCATGCAGGATCCTTTGTGTAGTCACCACGCATGTCCACCGCATGGAGGTAACAGATGACATAGGCCAGACATTTTTTCAAGTGCCTTTTCTTTTTTCTGCCTATAATCCTAGTATATGCTCAATGTATATTTTTGAAAAAATTATTAAAGAAATTAACTAGCTAAGAATGGTGGCTCACACCTATAATCCCAATTTTGTGTAAATCAGAGATTGATAGGATTGCTGTTTGAGGCCATCAAAAAGTTAGACCCTTTCTCAACAAACAACCTGGCTATGGTAGCATGTGTGCCTGTAATCCCAGTTACAGTGTGAGAATCATGGTCTAGGCTGGCCTGGGCAAAAAATGCAAGACCCTATCTGAAAAATAATGAAAGCATAAATGACTGGGGGCATGGCTTAAGTGGCAGAGTACCGGCCTACTAAAGTGCGAGGCCCTGAGTTCAAACCCCAGTCCTCCAGCTACTACAGTCTGCCACCAGAAGTGCTGTGCTGTGTGGCCTCACTCTCTTTGAGGACTGTCACCAAGCACCTTCCTATCCATTGCCTCAAATCTGTCCAGCACCCTCAGGGGGCCATCATCTCCACCAGCTGTGTGCACCCAAGTTTTGCCTAAGCTGCTCGTAACCAGCTTTCCTCTCCAAAAGTTTTAACAAGCTCTGTGCTTGTAACAGGTTAGGAAGAAGGAATGGCAGGGGGGCGGGGAGGGCAGGGGTTTGGAAAACATGTAGGGAAACAGCAAAAGAGAGGCATCAGGCCAGCCCAGGAGGGGACACCAGAGGCAGAAGATGCAGGCAGAAGAGATGGAGAGGAGAGGAGGCTCCCAAAGCTTGGTGTTAGGCTCCTAACATGAACCACCTGGTCCCTCTGCTGTCCTAGAGGGCACATAAGATCACAGGTCTCATGACTGTAGCTACAGCTCATCAAACCTGTTTAAGGTCCTGCACACATGAGCTCTAACCCACAGGGAGGGGTTCCGAGTTGGGTATTGTCCCCATTCTGCAATAAGGAATCCAAGGCTCTAGGTGAGCACCCCACAGCCCCCAACCAATGGCAGAGCCTGGAGCCCTCCTGCAATATATTCCAACTGTCGGGTCTTGTTTCAGGCACCTCAACCCCACTGCAGGGGGCACCCAGGTAATCGGATTTAAAACTAGTTCCTGATCAGGGTCTGATCATGGCTGGCTCAGGTGGCAGGAACAGAGTGGTGGAAATGAACAGGCAGGTCTTTGTTCCTCTGCTAATCCAACACCAGCACACTGCACAAATGCACAAGGCTGAGCCCATTCCTTGGGGCTTAGTGCTTCACCAGTACAGCTGGCATCAGCAAAGGATAGTGAAAGATCCCAGGGCTCTCCATGCAAGCTGTCACCCAAGCTAGACCCTCGTCCTGACCCGTCCACCAGAGGAGGCCACCAGAGGTGTGCCCCATGAAAGGGGTTTCTGGAGTGCAGACTCACCCGGTGCTGCCACTCCTCCACCTCGTTCTCCTTGCGCCTCCGTGCTTCCTCCAGGAGTGCGATCTTGGCGGTGTACTCTGCAAGCTCGGCAGCCTGGGAAGGGAAGATGAAGCTAAAGTGGTTTCTAGAGTCTTTGGGCAGAGTTCACTTCTGAGTGTGAGTTGGTGAATGGCCCTCCTGGTGACACACTGTGCCCCACCTTCACAGCCAGCAGGGCCCATCCATGCCACCCTGTGTCTCTGTGGGACCCTGGATGCCCACGTCCACCTCCCTGACTGGGATTAGCACAAGTTCCCCCTCATTCCTCCATGCGGCTGCCACTGGCCTCGGCAGATGTGCTTACACTCGGAGGAAAGCCATTATAAGGCAGGTGTTGCTCTTTCCATCCCCAGAAGCAGCCTCTCCATAATTCAGCATCTTGAAACCCAGGCAATCCCTACCAGCTGCTCCTGGCTCTTTATCTGATCCTGTGCCTGTCTCTCCAGCTCCTCCTTGGCACGCAGTGCAGCTACTCGGTCAGCCTCCAGCCGCTCTGCGTCTTCCTGGGCTCGCTTCCTCTCCTCCTCCAGCTGCAGGGCTCTCTCGATCTGGTCAGAGAGTTCTGCAGAGAACACAAAGCCAGAGCTGCTCAAATCCCCAAGCCAGGGCAGGGGCATACGATACAAAAGCCTTCCGTCCCACCCCAGGGTGGCAGAAGGAGATGGGGGTGATGGACTGAGTCACAGGGCAGTGAACCTTGCCCAAGGACACTTCAGGATCATTGCTGTTGTTTCTATAACTCCCTTGAGAAGGTTAGAAACTGCTGCACAGAGCTGGTCAGACACACCTCTCTCCAGCCAGTCTGTTTGGCTCCCGTCACCTGGGCACTAGCTAGAACACAGAAATGCCCTGCCAGTGTCATTCCAGGTTCCAGCAAACACAGGTGTTTCCCTGCTATACTGAAAGCTCCCTGGGTTGACTGGACAAGGTGTCACTATGGAGCTGAGCTGTGGACAGCTGTAGGTGGGCTGCAGGGTCTGGCCGAGGGTCTGAGTCTAGAAGGTTGGGTAGTGTGGCCTAGCTTTGTCACTCACTGCAGCCTGACCATGGACTGATGATTCCATCTTGCTAAACCTTAATGTTGTCACCAGGAAAATGGTGGTGATTCAGTACTCACTTCAAAAGGTCTTGGGAAAATTGAAAACAACCAGCATAGAAGTTAACTGAACGGAAATATAGAGCTGCTTTCTAACCTAAACAGCCATGTCATCACTTCTCTGTTCAAAGCCTCTCTTGGTGGGTGCTGTGTTAAACTGAACTGTGTTCTCTCGAGGAAGCCCCCTCCTGGCTGTGTGTAGCCCCTGTCTGCCCCTCTATGGGGCAGTTACAGACACCAGCGCAGTCATGCCATGTGGTGCAAAGCTCCCTACCTTTCTCTGCTTTCTTGGTCTTCTGCTCATAGTCCTGCAGCCGCAGCATCAACTCCTCCTTCTCCCTCAGCATCTGCTCCTTCTCTCTCTCAACAGTTTCCCTCCTCTTCTTCTCAGTTTCCAACTGTTGCCTGGTACAGGGAGGAGGCAGAGGCACAGGAAGGGTTAGGTTCTGGCAGGTGCTGGCTCGCAGACACAGTGGACATTCCTGTGCGAACTTCCTGCCTGCTGTGTCGTGTTATTCTGGTATGACAAAGGTGGTGGGAGCTGACCCCAGCTCACAGAAATGGTGCCTCTTAGCCATAGCACTGACCCTGCACTGGGCTCTGAGCAACACCACAAGGATGGAACTGTTTAGGCCCCAGGTCTCGGAGGCCCATAAACTAGGTTATGTTTACCAGGCTCTTCTGACCAGGAAGAGCACAGCTTCTCCAGGCAGCTGCAGCAGGCCGTGGTGCCCTGTGGGTCTGGCCACTCACCTCTCCAGCTGCTTCTGGTGCTTCTCCTCTCGGGCCTGGGCCTTCATCTGCTGTACCTCGATGGTGTCAGGCTTCCTGCGACGCATGTACAGCTCATGGTTCCCCATGCACAGCTGCAGAATCCGCTTGTTGATTCTCAGGCGGGGGGCATAGAACACAAAGTCCTGCAAGACAGAACAGGTGTCTTAGACTCAGCTTTCTTTCCCAGACCATAGTTCACAAAGTTCTAGAACCTTTCTAAAAGGATAAATATAGCAGAGGAGAGGGACTAGAAATGTACATTGTCTGTACCGGGAATGTATGTTCTCTGGGGGAGAGGTGTACTGCATCCAGTCTGTGTGCCTGGTTGTACATGTGCACCCATATGTGTCCGCATACACATCTGTGGTCTGTATGTGCAGGTGTGCTAGCATGCGTGTGTATGTGTGGTCTGTGTATGTCACAACGCTTTCAAGGTGAGGCTTCTCCCAGCCTTGGGAAATCCAGTATCAGTTGAGTCCCAGTACTGCCTTGTTCCTGGGTACCATGTTTGGTATTTCCAGTCCCACACCTGTCCCCATTCTTGCATAGGTGCATTCTTAACATCTCCTGAGCTTCCTGTCTCCTCTGCCACAACGTTTTTACCTCCCACACTGCCACAAGCACCTGGACCAGTCACCACCCTCACCTCCATTGCTCCAGATTCCTGGGCCTATCTTATGTCACAGCCTTGGATCACCAGCCCCACCATCCACATGTGCACCTCAGCTGCACTCTGTCCTACCTATAAGCATCCTTCTACTGGAAGTGTCATTCTTCAATCCTGTCCCAAGGACCCCAGCTCTGCTTCTATGCCTGACAGAGATGTTTGTGAGTGTGCTAACACATTATTTCCCTGCTTGGTTCTGGTACCTCTTGCTCCCATAGACCAGTGGTGCCTGAGAGCAGGGGCTATATTCATCTATCTCTCTCTCTCCAGGATCAAAACAATGCTCCACACCCAGCCTCAGTGTCAACCATTAGATGGTGCTGACAGTATCAAATGGGACTGTCATGAGGATTAAGTTAAATAATGTTTAAGTATGTTGAATGGCACCTAGGACAATAAACACTGGCTGACATGCAAAGTGACCCCTCACAGATGTGTGTGAGCTGCCTTACAAACCAGATACTGGAGAAGGGTTCTTGAAGTGGGGGAGAGAGCAAGGCATTTGGGAATTTTGTGACCTGGGCAGGGATGACAGACCATCTTGGTTCCCAACTCCTGAAATGATCAACATAAGGAGCAGAAGAAGGAACAGGGCACAGACGCGCTCCCTAAGGTGTTGAAATGCCTCTGCCTGCTTCTTCCTAACCATGGGCCCCTTGGCCTCCAAATCCTGATCATAGAGAACAGGAAAAGGGGCCAAAACAAAGCAGCAGTGTGTCCCACCCCACAGCCACGTCACAGGCCTTCAGAGCACACCAGACCCACCAGGCGACACGCCCAAGGAGAGCACACGCAGCTCCCCAGTCTTTCATTGGCTCTGGAAGCCCTGGGGTGGGAGGCTGAGGTTAAGCCCGGAACTCCTAAGCTTCCTGGGTGGGGCTCCCCTCTGGTTTCACACACTGGTTATTAAGCCATCGGGTTTCCCAGGGAGGAGTCCGCAGGCCTGGGAGAAACAGGAATTTTTATAACCTGCCTATCTCCTATTACACAAGAGAAAACAACCGTGTATTATGGCTTCAGAGACACACTGCCCAAGTAGGTTCCACTGTGACTCACAAGTATTTGCAAAGAAATGCTGATTAGCACCAACTCCCCTTTGGGGGAAAAAAAAAATCAATCAAACAGCGTCAAGGGTCAGAAGTACACCAACATGAGAACTCCTCCATCTCTGCCCCTAGGAGATAGGTCCTAGAACTACTGGCAAGCGCTCCTGAGAATTAGGAACAGGCTGCTGAGCAGGGAAGAGGAGGGTGGGAGGGAAATTATTCCCACTGCCTTTGAAGAAAGCCAGTTTCCAAAGAAAGCAAGTTAAAAACAAAAAACTCACACACTTGGATTTCAAAGTCCAAGTTCCCAAACTGTGCCTCCTAATGCAAAGCCACACCAGAAAGACACCTAGCGCAGGCTTTCCAAAATGGCAGACAACCTGCATCCTAGACACAGAAACTAGAAAAGGTAAACAGACAAAGTGAACCAGAGATCCTCTGAATCTAGGTGGGCAAAAGAGGAGGAGACAGAGCCTTAGCAGGAATTCCAGGAAGTTTCCCAGGAAGCCCATCTCCATTGTCTAGTCCCAGGACCAGGGAGGGACAGACAGTGGGAGCCCGGACAGAGGACTCCTGGGAAAGAGAAGGCTGGCCACTTTCCAACATTTCAAAGGCAGTTAAGCAGTTCCTTAAGAACTCTCTGAGGCTACAGGGATGGAAAGCCCTATTCTGAAAGGAAAGACAGTTGTCTCAACCCCTACAGGCTACCTGGACAAGCTGGGAGGGTAGTGGGATTGGAGATGCCACCTAAGAGTCAAAATGTGGTCCCAAACTGCTGTGTTACTTGGCAGAAAAGAGAAGCTGGCTTTTAAAAAAGAGCTGCCCCTCCGTCCCACCTCCCCGACCCAGCAGGTTTTGAGAGTTCCCTGCAGAAAATGCCAGGACAGGGGGTTCTGTTTGTAAGGCCACAGCAGATAAAGAATCCCGTAACTCCTTGACCTTTGGAATTTCCTCTTCTATTTTTTACATAAAAATTTAAACTTGAAAATTTGCTTTCTTCTCCCCACAGGGAAAGGCTGAGAGAGGTATGACTGTCCATGACATGTCTGCAGTCCTGTAATTCTAGACATCTTGATACACTAGCAATGGTTCTTTCTTTTCTTTTTAAGCGAGTCTTCCCATACAGCTACTTTGCAGTGAACACATATGCATGATTCAGCCAGATGAACTCAAATCACTTCTGGGATTTTATAATTATGAAATATTCTTCAGCTTTTCAAAAGTTGAACTTTTATACACCAAATTAAACATTTATACACTAATTCTGAAACAGTCTATCCCAGAAAGAACTTTTGTAGTCAGCTCAATTTCTAAAATAAATTTCTGAAAACTTAGTAGCACCAGGCTGAATAGACAGCAATCTACCCACAGACCAGAATCTTCCTGACTTCAAACTGTGCCAATCTTACTGCCCATATCACATGGGTACGCTGTGACCCTCGGTTGGTGGGACTGCACATTAATGTGAATTGTTACCATGGAGCTTTGGAGTATTAAATGCTAGGTTAATTTTAAAGAACCATGGGCTACCCATGGAGTAGGAGTCAAGAGTTTATAAACAGCAGGAAACATTTCAATAAAGAAAATACTTTTACAAACAATGTTAAGACCTGCTGGTTTTAAATTATACTAGACTAACCCGTATATGGGGAAAAGTAATTGGACAGCTACACCATATGGTGTCCCAAGTGGGTTTAGCAGTTCAAAGTGGTCCCAAGAAGCTTGAGAGTCACCCAAGGTATGGACCCCAGCCCACATTTGCCTCTCTAAGCTTAACACTGTACCTAGGGAGCAAAGAGGACATGAGAACACAAAGTCTTTTCCAATCTCTAATTTTGGTAAAATTCAGAGCAGGCTCCAAAGGAGTGTAACAGAATTTTTCTTCAAGATTTTTTTTTTTTTTGAAGAATTAGATTTTTGATGAGAAAACAAAATCCTCACCATTTTTACCATACTATAGTCATATATGTATATCTTAAGTATTCTAAGCTAACATTGGCTACGTTTAACAGAATAAAACCAAAATAAATTTCCATAGTGCAGAGGCAGCCCTTAGCTAACAATCTATATTTTCGAATGCTAGAATACGAAGAGTTAACTCCTTTTCTAGGCATGCCCTTCCAGGGTGAGCACCTGCCAGTCTCATCTGTGTGAGATGCCGCAGGTGATGTGTCAGACTGAAGACCATGTGACCGGCATGGGGTGACCAGAGAGAAAAGGTGGGGGCCTGCATCAGTGTGGGAGAAACGACGCACAGAGGAAACCCAGGGCACTAGCACTGGTTTGGATACATTTGGGACTTTTTTTAACTTGGGTAAGTTTGAGGGAACACTGAAAATCAAATTCTGGTCCTTCATGAAGACTTTAATGCCTCATTGTCTGTTCTCCAGCCAGTGGAGAGATGCTAGCATGAGCTCCACACCCAGGTCCCTGTCTAAGGCAGGCTGGCTCGCCACACGGTGCTGAACATTCACAAGCTGGGTGTGCTACGGCAGCAACATGGCGTTTTGGACAATGCTTATCACTTGGCAAAGGCCAATGACTCAGAACTGCCCTTTCCTCTGTATGGAATGAAGACTACCTGAAAGCTTAGGTTACGGCATCTAGTTTTTGATGGATATCTGGTCTCTACAATAACCTCCCACTGCAGTGGTCAGTCACACAGTCCAAAGGATCCTTGACCCTCAGTGACTAGCTCTGAGTCCCACAGGCTCCTCAGCACATACAGAAACCCAAGTGTTCTCTGAAAACCCATGTAGCTGTGAGAATGGTAAGTGGTGAATCTGTGGGGAGCTCAGTTGAACTTACAGGTGCCTTCTTGTCGATGGGCTTAATGACAAATTTTTTGTCATTGAAAGAGATGTTCCTGATTTCACTCCAAGGGAAGCCAATCTTTGGGGTCAACCTGAGGTTTAAAAAAAAAAAGAGGTAGGATGGTTAGATGTATATTTGGATTAAGAAAGGTTTGCAAATCTAGTTTTAATTTCTTTAAGCTCGATTTAAAAATATATAAAGTTAGTCCAAGAAGAATGAGAAATGCTACTATTAAATAGTCCTCACCTGTCCCAGGTTAAGCGCAGTGGCTGTCTGTGAGTATCTGTGACCTTGTACGACTACTCTAGTTTTTCTCAGTTTTAGGCGTCTACCTGCAATCAGTCACTCCACTTGGCAATCCTGCAGTCACCTGCCACTCTCAGTTGGGAACATCCGCTGTCCTATCTGAGTCTCTCCCCAGCATCTTATACCTTGCACTCCCACACCTCCATCCTACCCGCCTCTCATACTGCCAGGGCCCCTAGTTTATTCTGTTGGTCTAATTAATTCCCTATCACCCAGCCATTCCCCTCTTTTCAAAATATGTCAAGAGTCCTTAATTCAGCATCAATTGTCACCTCATTCCCAAACCTATGCTTTCAACACAAGGTCCCCAGCTGCCACTACTCCTCCCCACCCCCCAACATGCACACATGCTTACTTTCCTTCCTATGGTGGCCTCTCCTGCATAACCGCTTAGTGTTATTTAAATAGTGAGTTGCTATTTTCCCTAATGGAGAGCCTGCCTTCTGCTTCCCAGACATGCCACACTCAGCAGCCGCATGCCGAGGGCAGCAGACAGGGGCTTGGTAGAGATTCTGTTCCTCTGGGCTCATGATACATGTTCTCCTGCCTGGCCAGGGACTGTCCCGGGTCACCCTGCAGCTTCCAAGATGGCCCTCAGAGTACACAAAAGGGGCGTAATCGATACTATTCCTCTCCTGGCCAGAATTCTGGCTTACTTGTGAGCATGCCCAAGAAAGTCCATGCTACTCTGCTTACCTCATGCTTCCCACCCTACTCTTTCAACATGCTACCAGGGCTAATACTATTCTGAAAGTAAGGACAAACCCTCAAACAACTATTCAAGGGCTGCCATCAAAAACAGTCCTTTCCTACATCTGTAACTTTCAGTAGAACACAGCAGGGGTGGGGAGGAATCTGTTGCCTATTCAAAGATTTAAATAAAAGCTGATATGCCGCATAGGTCTTGCTATGCCAAGAGCCAGGTCAAGCAGTAAGCCTGACTGGTGGCTTTTCTCGTTTGCAGTACTAGGGAATTTAACTCAGGGCCTTGCACTTGCCAGCAGGCATACTACGACCTGATCCACTCCACCAGCCCTAGGTGGCTTTTCTAGGGCACGGCAGCTATGGCTCACCTGTAGGGAGTGATAAAGGACACTGCTGGCCAGATTGGTTTACATGTCAAAGCTTTTTGGCAATACTGGGGTTTGAACTCAGGGCCCTGTGCTTGCCAGGCAGGCACTCTACCACTTGAGCTACATCCCCAGCCCTTTTATGCTTTAGTTGTTTTTTGCATACGATGGTGTATTTATGACCAGGCTGGCCTGGACCACGATCTTCCTATTTATGCTTCCTGCATGGCCGTGATGACAGGTGTGTGCCATCATGGCTAACTTTTTATTGGTTGAGATGGGGTCTTGTAATCTTTTTGCTCAGGCTGGCCTTGAACTGCAATCTCCTTGTCTCCATCTCCCAAGTAGCTAGGATTACAGGTGCAAGCCACCTCACCGGGCAGCATACATCCTTTTTCTAATTCTATTCTGTATGATCACCAATGCTTGTAAAACATAGGTGGCTAACATGGCTCATGGCACTCAAATACACAGGGAGTTTGTTCTGTTATTTCATCTTCATGTATGTTGTAGGCGTGTTTTGTTTACAGGTCTCAGAGTGTTGTAAAGGAACTCAGGATACAGCCCGATCCTGCCCATGTGCTTCCTACATGGAAAGGCCAGGAAAGGGGCACTGGCAAGCAGCCACTGCTCTGGAATAGCAGCAATCCTAGCTCCTCAGCTCCAGGCATTACCCAGGTTTCTCCAAACAGTTTCTGGTCCTAGAAAACTCAGGCTTCTGAGCTTGACAGGTGTCTCTCTTTGAAGGGTTTGGTGCACCATGGCCTCTATCCTCTATTTTCCAGTGTGTCTGAAAAGTTTGTCTTTTTAAGACTTTGAAACCTCATATAATAATCCCTAGCCACTCATAAGCATAATTGCAGTATCAAAGGATGAGGGCTGAACATGAAAGTTATGACTCATTTCCAAGTTAAATAACTTCCTTTAATTCTTAACCACAGCTGGAGAATGAGAGCCTACAAGGATTCCCTTTTCTTCTTTTTTTTTTTTTAAAGAGATTACATATAGGGCATGAACATGGTCCACCCAGAAGATTGCTACAGGATTTGTATTTTAAGTGTCCTTGCTAAGCTACCCATTTAAAAAAAGAAGAAGAAGAAGAAGAAGAAGAGGAGTAGGAATTGGTGGCACACGCCTATAACCCCAGAACTTGGGAGGTGGAAGCAGGAGGATTACAAGTTTGAGGCCAGCCTGAGCTACATTACAAGACCTGGTCTCAAAAATAAATAAATAAAAATAAAAAGTGGCATTCTCCAGTAAGCATTACGGAGGTCTTTGGAGAAAAACCCAACCAAGGGCTGGGATTGAGTCAGGAAAGACCAGGATGATCCTATAGCATCTGAGAGGCCAGAAGGGTAAGGATATGTCACAGAACAGTGAGGCCACATAGAAAGGACACAGGCTCAAACTCCAAAGGGCTCCCATAGGTCAAATCTCAAACAATTTGAGCAATAAAATAACTATCACTACTAACAGACTGCAGCACAAAGACTAAGACAAATATCCTGTCAATACAGATAACTGAGTAAGTGGCGAAGAGAAACTGGCTCCTTAAAGAATTCTAGTTAATACATAAAAGCCTTTTCTAAAAACAAAACAAAACAAAACCCCACCATTTGTCATATCATAGCAATAATTATTTCATGTAAACCTCATCAAGGATGCTAGGATTAATAAATGAAAGTGTGAGAACCAGTACAGTTACACAGTTTCACAGTACCTCCTCAAAACATACCAATTACAACAGGAAGGACAGAAACTATGGCCGACCATGTGATCCAGTTAGCACCACTAGGGGCTGGACACACTTACACCACTGCCACCTCATAGGAGGCCCACGGCCCTTTTGTGGGACTCCAAATCCAACTTGAGGGGTTCCTGCACGCCAATAGCTAATACTCTTCAAAAATATGAAGTTACACAAAGACTGTGAAACTGTCCCAGCTCAAAGAAGACTGTAGGAGATGACAAACATTGGAGTGATTTGACTGGATCCTGGGGCAGAAAGCTAGCGGGACTCGAATTCAAATGGAAATAAGGTCTACAGACTGTTACTGCTACTGAACCAATATCAGCCTCCTGATTTTGTTACTTGGACTATCATTACATAGGGTATTTACATTTGAGGGAGCTGGGTAAAGGGTACATGGGAATTCTTTGTATTACTTGTGGAACCATGTTGAAGTCTGGTATGATTTAAGAATGAAAGAATGAATAGTTAAAAATTTTAAATTCAAAATCTACAGCTCAGGGTAAAAATATTCCATGCCTTGGTAAGATTTTGTATTTTACAGGCATATTTAATTTGTCAAAATTCAGCAAATGAACAGTTAAGACTACATTTTGTTATACTTAAAACTTACATCAAAATGTATTTAGTAGAGACTAAGTGACCTGTGTTTTCCTTTTGGGGAAAAATACAGATGCCATGATTTACTTTGAAATGTGCCAACAGAGGCTGGAGGGCTAACAGTGAATGGTATGGAGTCAAAAACAGACATGAGACAGCAAATACTATACTGAGTAATCTCACACATGGAGTTCAGCCCCCAACTTGTCCACAGCTCCCCAGCATCCTCTCTCTTGAAGGGTGGGAGCCCAGAACCTTGCCAGTTTCAAAATATTCCACCTTTATAAATGTCACCAGTACTCTATAAAGTGAGCCTGCAGAGGGATGAAACTCAGGGGGGAATACATGCTTTCTAAGGACAAAAGAACTTTCATTTAGTTTTTGTGTCTGGTTTGAGAGTTTCAGGTAGAAGTGTAACCCAGCTCAATTGGACTTCCTCTACTATAAGCGTATGCTGCCTGTTAGGGAAGGTGTTTGGCCACTTCTCCTCTCCCAAGCTAAGGGTTTTAAAAAAAGAAAGGGGAGGAGACAAATGCTTTAGTCTTCTATGCTCCCACTGAATGGTGACATATATCATTAAAAGGGGACCCCCCAAGAGACATTTCCCAGTCACAGCCTATTGAATTCCAAAAAGGATACAATAAAGATGTGCCCTTAAATCTCTTATAGCTCAATTTACATACTGGATATGTATCAGATTCCTCTCGTGAACAATGTATCAAGAATATCTAATTCTCACCATTAGTTCTATTGGTAAAGATAGCAACTCAACACCGAGCCCAGTTAGAGTGCTGGCAGTTCCTCAGGCCCCAGGAACAATCTCCTGCTTATACCTCTAACCATGATGTCAATATCTGCAAAAGAACTGGGGCCTGTCAACTGGTAAATGTCCACCTAAGTGCTTTTCCTTTGAAGACAGGACATGCCTTCAGGAAAAGGGGGAGCAGATGGGATGTGAAGCTGCCCAGTGCCGTGGCACACTCTGTGAGGAGAAGATCCATCAAGAGCTGCCAGCTGCACTGCTGAATGGGGGATCAGGAGGAGCAAGGATAGGACCAAGTGGGACACAGGGCTCAAATTTTACTTGGGGAAAAAAAAAAAGAAAAGAACACTTCCATGGGTTGGGGAGGTTACAGGCTGGCTTCAGCAAGTCCCTGCCTATGGCTGTTTTTTTGCAGCTGGAAAAACCTGTTTGGACAGTTCTGGCCACGGCTCAGTTACAAAATCTGGTCATTCAAGAGTTCAAAGAGGCAGTTTCCCACACACATTTCCATGAGTCCCATGAGGATGCAGGGTACTCTCTGACTCTGGACACACATGGCTCTCCCGCACAGCTCATAGCCCCTGGCCTCCAAATCAGGAAGGATCACAGGGTGGTTCCCCTAGTTCCCTTATCTACTCAGAAAGCTCGTTTCTCTACTCACACTGCATCCAGCACATTCAGGCAGGAGCAAACCGCAAAGCCTCAGTGGGTCACTTGTCGGTTCCCCCAAGTTCTTTTGATACTTTGACAAGCGTGTCACATGGTGCCATGTAGCTTAGTCCACTCCTGGCCAGGACAGGTCCTTTAGGTGGACAGAGTCTGCTTTCCCCTGTGCACAGGCTCAAGTGTAGTATATGGAGCATGAACCCAAGGCCCTGCTCTGAACACACTCTGCCGGGACTAGAGACAGAGTCTTTACGTGTGTGTCATCTGTCAGAAGCAGTACCATTCCCCTAGTAAACCCAGAGAGAAGGTTGTGGGGGAATGTGAGGTGTGGGGAGCTGAGAGAAGACACATTTGGGAACAGGCAGAGTAGATGTGCTAGAGGGCCACTTAAAGGGACCGCACAGGTCTGGGATGGGAACTGGAATGTATGCCATGGGCTGAGGTTCATCCCAGGACACAGGGCAGCTCTGCTCCATGCAGACCAAAGGGCTAGGCACTGAGACTCTGGAGCTTTCCTGCCTCACACCTCCCAGCCAGAGCTGTAGCTGTCTTCTGCCAGTCCCTGAAGCTGATGCCACCACAGGGCTCTTAGGGAATCCTTCAGGGAAGGAAGGCACTCAGAGCCCGGACCCAAGCAGCCTCTCTCCTTGTTCTTCCCAAGAGGTGGTTTTGTACTTTTAAAAAAAAAATTGATAGAGGATCTCGCCATGTAGCCCAGGTAGATCTGGGATTTTTCGATCCTTCTGCTTCAGCCTCCTGAGTGTACCACCACTCCCAACTCCTATGGGTTAAATTTAGGAAGTCTCTGACCAGGAGTACTGACAATCTAGGCTTATCCTCTGAGCTCAAGAAAGTACCATGGAAAACTTGCTCTCATGAAGCAGATGGTTTTCCTGGGCAGAAAGAAGGCATGTGCAGTACCGTATCAGGGACCATGGCATCTGCAGTAACAAGAAGCTAGACTCCCAATGCCAGGCAGGTCTCTGTAAGTTGCAACTTACACTTGAACTACTGTGAGGCAATTAGACACTTTCTGCAGGCTCAGGGGATTTAGCTAATTGCTCAGACATGCAGGCTGTGGCTTACAGAATCTTCAAGTGTCTGACCACACTATAAATATTCTTGGCTGGATTTGCATAAACCTGAAGCCAGGAGTTCACCTGGGCCAGGCTGCTTGGGGAAGAGTCATGGATGTGCTGGGACCTGTGGCAGCTGGGGGTGGGAGCCTCAGTCTGATGGGAGGGAGTCTTCCTCAGCTGCCATTCTCTCTATTTCTCTTCCGAGTCCTCAGAGTCCTGAGGTCATTGCCCCTCCAGCCCTCCCCCAGATTCCCTGTGCTGCTGAGTAGACTGTGGAGACAGGAGGCAGATGGGGCTGCCCTCCAAGATGGGTAAAGCACAATGCAAAAGTTGTAAAGACTCACACTCTGGACTGTTAAGGGCCAAATATGTCAAAGTTAACCCACATACACCATTACCATTGTGACCCTTGTTTCCAGGCCCACTGCCCACCTAAAGAGAACCATAAACTTCAACTCACTTGTCATCTTTCTCATAAATATTTAGTCCAAGGGCATCAACTCCAAGCCAAAGGTCTGTTCCTTTCTTATTTTTGATCTCGAAATAGTTGATTCCGTACATTTCCAGGTCCTGAGCAATCTTCAGGTACTCCAGCATAGCATTATCTCTAGTGAGGAGATATAACACAGGTGCAATGGTTAGCAGTGCTCCATATTGGGGGTGGGGACGGTGAGAGGGCACCTCCCCCCACAACACTAGTAGCCACTGCTACAGGTTTTGAGTCATTTTCCCTACACAGGACTTTTAAGCCAGTTGGGAATGCTGGCACTCTGAGGCCCAAACTGCAAAGGAACTTGTGAGGCTGGGATAGTGTAAAAAGTTGCTGCTACGGTCTGAGAAGGAAACTCAAGCAGAATGATGCCCAGAGTCAGGGACATGGCTGTACACTTAACTACCTTAAAGCCACATGTTCTCTGTTCTTCCTTATGCTTTGCTTATGTTTCTCTGTTACCAGTGTTTCTCACCTGGTATGTGTGGTTTTCATTTCTGTATACTTCTGAAGGCAACCATATAAAAAAATGGGCAAACTAGCACCTCTTTTTAGCAGGGAGATGGAAACCCCTAGTCCGACTTGCTGGTGATCAGTGCTCCCCTCAACTAAATGAGTTTCAGACATTCGATTTTCTTTATTCTAAAGAATGGGAGAAAGAGCTTTTAGGACCTGAAAGCTTAAACTGATTCTGGCCATGTTTAAAAAAATTCCAAAACCAAAAACAAATCTCCCTCCCCATAAGAAAACCCTACTTGTGGCTAGAGGGGGGTACCTCACCAGGTACTAGGACTGCAGCTTGGGCCTCAGGCTGACCACTTTGAAAGCACTACCTGGAGTCCCCTGAGAAGAAGACAGGTTGGAAAAGCCAGCACTCACTTGAGCATCCCACGGTGTTCTGCGTGCCACACCTGGATCCGGTCCTCCCACTGGTCCCTGGTGAGTTTGTGCTGGTCCATGACTCTGGGTTGCAAGAGGATGATACAGTACTGTGAATGTCAGAGGCTGAGAGACGAGAGCTACAGGGCTGCTTTCCACCCACATTCAAACTACTACTGTCCTTTTAAATAAAACAATCACAGAGATTTTTTTGTTTCTACTTTCTGGTCAATAGCATTGCTTATTTTTTAGAAGAAATCTGAAGATTTAGCATTTCGAACAAGACAAAGCCAGTCCTGCTGAAGAAATTTAGGAAGATATTTTAAGTGACCTTTTCTTCCAAAAGGGGTCATTTTTATTACTATGAGTGAATAAAGACAGACTTAGCAGAAGCCAGATTATTACGCATCAGGCAGAGCTAAGCAGGCAGGTCCTAATTCTGCCAGAGAGATCCCCAGGTGAGAACAACCTGTCAGTGCCCACAAAAAGAGCAATGCACCTTCCCTTTGGCTGTGTCTTATTAATCCTTAGTGCCTTGCAGGAACCACTGGTTCAGGATGTCCTGAAGTCCAGAAATTAAGACTATAGTCCCAGTCTAAAGTTGTTCTTCAACCTGACAGAGTCCCCTGCTTCCTTCTCACAACCACTTTTGTCCGACCCCCATGGCAGGACGGAGGCCTGTGCTCAATCAGACTAGACTACCCTCTGCTCACCTCTGAGGGATCAGCCGCTCGGAATTGAGGTACCCGGACTTGTGCATTTCTTTGTTATAGTCGCCGAACTTGGCCTGCACAGCGTAGGACCCCAGGAGCACGGCAGTCTCTGGGGGGCAGTAGATCTCATCACTGAGAATCCCCTCTTTCACCTGCAGGAAGAACAGCTTCTGGGTGATGTCCTGGATGAGCTCCTCAGACACGTCCTCAGGATAGAACTTGGCTCGGAACTTGAATTGGACAGGGTTCTCCTTCCTGACCTCCTGGGCAGACACCTGTGGGATAGAAGTCAGTTCTCATTACACACTGAAAGCCACTTCTGAACTCACAAGTGACTCAAAAGTGGCCCTCCGGCCAGCTTTCAGAAAATAGTATTTGTTCTGAAATGCATTTTTGTAAACAAGGTCAATGTAAAGTATATTACACATCCACATTCTGCTGGAAACCTACACTACTGACATGCCACACCTACCGGCATTTCTAAGACAATCTTATCAGTCCCAGAGAATTCAGATATGAAAATGACCCCACTCCTGCCCCCAGTGACCTGCAATCTTGCAATATGCCCACCTATCAGTCTGGTCCTGGACCACAAGACTGACCCCCACACTTCATCCTGCTCCTCTTGCCCTGGCTTAGTGACATGACAAGAAAGGGGGTGGGGGTGGGGAAAAAAGTAGAGTTTTCGAAGAGTTTGAAGAAAATACATTTTGCTGATGGCGTCTCTTTAATTGTTAGTGGAATTACTCAATCTTTGGAATTGAAAGATAATCTATCACAGGTTCAAACAAAGCAATAGCAGGTTCTTACGACACAGCGGGTGACTCATGGTTTCTAAGATTAATCTCATTGAAAAAAAACTAAGGTCAACTAAAAGGAAGGCAGTTAACCATCGCCTGCTTCAATGAGGGAGCACTGGGGAGATGCCAGGATCTAATTTCCAACTCATATCTTTGCTTACTGGAAGCCTGCAGCGTTCCTGTCCATAAAAACTTTTACACAAAGAAGGAACAAGAAAACAAAAGACAGAGTTGAAATGCTCTGGTTTTAATGTCCACAAAGCAGACCAACTCCAATTAATAGCCTGTAAATAGTTAACCCGCCTTACCTTTTTATCAAGTTTCAACCAGGTAGGAAATCCTTTATTGTCTGTATACTGGAGGCCAAAGTACCATACTTCCCGGAGGCCAATAGTCTTAACCACCTGTGTGAGAGAAAGAGCAAAAGAGAGGCCCAGGCATAAGAAACTCCCTCACCTGGGCAACACCTACCAGCAGTCATGTAGCCAGAAGTTCCTGAGATTGCTATCTGCCTATTTGGTCCAACCCACAGACCAGCAGCATCCCCCCTACCCCACACTGTCTCATGTGACCTGTGACCTGCATGGACTATTCTGCTAAAGCCACAAACAATGTATGTTTAATATAACTCTGAACAGACTTAGATGGTTATCATTAAATCTCATGAACTACACTCCTACTCTTTCACACTGCAAGATGCATTTCTGAATGAAAACCAAAGTGGGCTGTGGCTAGCACCCAGAACCATGGGATGTGTGGTCTGTCAGTAATAGGTGTGTCCGGGTGCGAGTTCATCCATCAGGGAGCCCAGGTGAGAAGTGGCTGAAAATGACTAGCATAACACTGAGGCCCCTCAGGCAGCTGACTCAGGAATCTGGCTTACTAAGGAGCAGGCAGGTAATGAGTGGTCCTTGGGAGGCAGAAAGCAGGTGGGGGACAGGTTGGGGTGTTCAAGGTGTCAGGGGCTACACACATATCAGGCCATTTAGGCCTCCAGAAATGTGAAATTCTGTAGCTCTGGTAGGGTCCCAAGCCTAGGTCACAGCAAGGAGTTCATATGTTAAAAGTCTCCATGACACTGGGAAAAAAGTCTCTCATGTTTCATTATAGGGAGCACCTTGGGCTGGTTATTTTCATGAGCATCTTGGAAACAAGAAAAAACAGCAGCAGTCAGATGTGTTGAACATCAGAACCAAGTCTTACAGATTGGACATGTAATCTAAAATCCCATGACATATAATGTTAAACCTTTAAAAAATGTTTATTCATTACTGTTCTTCAAACACATGCCTTCTAAGACATTTAAACAAAGAGTACTGAACACACTAGAAACCACACATGGGACACCTGCTTAAAGTAAAAGTTGCAATTTCAAAAAAACACATGACCTGGCCTGTACCCCATCTGAAGCAGGGCAGATGCTAATGCTCTAGAAGTCTCTGTTTAATGAATGCCAAGGGCTGATCTGTTCATCTCTCCCTCCACTCACCCCCAAAAACATCGAGGATGGACTACACCTACAATTCTTCATTGTAGAATGATGTGAAGGAAATTCAGACTTGCATACAGTGCTCTGCTCCCCCAATGTCTTTTGTGCTCTCTCAGCTAAGTACAGAAAGAGCAAAGATCAGATCTCTATACTCAATCCTGATTACTGCCTGTTCTCCACAAACCTGCACCTTGTCATCTGAGATTGTTTCAAAGTTACAAAAGTCCTATGCACAAAGCAGGTGCCTGCTGTAATCTAGTCTTTCCACTTTATCCACCAATCCTCAGCCTCTGCCTAGTTCTGAAAAGCTGGGAAGAACTTTCGTCCACCTGACCTTCCTCTCCATCACTCTTAACACTCATGTTCATCATTAGAGTCACAACTCGGATTTCTTTTCTCCATCTTACTACAATGGTGCAAATCACAAATTTGGAACTGTGCTGCACAGCCATGACCCAGACTCTCTCAGTGGAAAGCCATCCCTGGTTTCTCTGATCTACCATACATCTTCACTGTAGAAATCTTCTGTTTTCAGTGTAACTGTCATTGGTATCTATTTCAAAGCCCCGTTTGTATCACCATGGCTTCCTCAAAATGTCACAATGGAGTTAAACAATCATCCTTTCTTCAATGCATTTTAAAGGCCACCCCATAGGTCCTCCCTATGGGAAAATTCCACATTCCTAATAAAAACACCCCTCACCATTGCCTTCAAGGTCCTTTGCTTCACCTCCCACAGAGGAGAGTCTCGACAGTGTGCAGGTCAAGTTCTCAGCTCTGCCTCATAGGGGTTTGGATGGCAGATTTTAGAAGGAAAAGGCTGGGGGTATCTGTTTCACATGACCTCAAGCAACAGCTGGGGGCCCCCTCCCCCAGCACAGCAGGAGGCCTGGTGTCTGTCCAGTCCTAGTTTGGTCCTGGGATGGCAGTTCCAGCAAACTGGAATCCTAGACTGGAGTCCAGTATAGATAGCAATACTCTGCAGGGTCTACACTGGCCAGGAGAGCGGCTGCTTACAGAAGAGCTGCAAGGACAGGTGAGATGGGGTGGGAGGAGACTGACTCACCTCTGAAGTCTCTTTTGCCTGGCTCCATGAAGGACATATTTCAGTGCCTGGTCCCTGAACGAGCTTCTCATCAAATTTCTCTAGTTTTTCCTCTTGTCCTAGAGTTTCCTTCGCTACCTTCAGAACAATTTTGTTGGGTGCCCCACCACTCATTTATAGGCAAGGACTGTAGTGTCTGGGAAGGTGACCAGGGGATATGCTGCATGGGGGCAGAGCCAACACTGGAAGCCAGGGCAGGCTCAGGTCCTAGCCACTGAACCACCCAGCTCTCAGCAGGCTCTACTCAACTTACCTAAAATTATCTAAAGGTTTCAAGAGAAACCTTTACATTTGCAGCCTAAATCCAGCCCCACCTGGAGCAGTAAGTATCTTTATTCTTAATAGGTGAAGCATACCCAAGAAAGGACTTCAAAACAATAGTGACAAGAGTCACGATGACCAGCTGCCTGGACCACACCTACCTCTGTAGGACCGGCAGGCACACCTGGCTTAGCTGAAAGTCCTGGCATTACTAGGTGCTGACTTTCTGGAGGGGACAGAGATTGGATCAAGCATGGGTGGAGCCACCTGGAGCTGCCAGCCACTGGCATTTTCAGCTTTGGTGCTCAAATGCAGGACACAGCTGCTGCCAGCAGGGCCATTTGGAGAAGCAGGCTCTACTTCAAGTGCCTTGTAACTCTCCTCTGGCCCTGTGCCCCCTGGACTCCTGCCTCTGAGCAGAACTTACTTAGCCTGGAAAAGTAGATTCTGCTCTCTAGAGTCCTGGACCGATTCCATGGAAAAAGGCTCACTGTTCTTCTTCAAACTCTGCCACTTGCCTCAAGTTTTGGGGAGATGCAAGAATGTGCATATACCTGCCCTGCCATTTCCAGAAGAGTCTCTATGCTGCAGACAGAGTGCATACACCACAGGGCATCTCAGGCGCTTCCCTTGCCACCGTCTGGGCCCACTTAGTCCATGAAGTTGGGCAGAGGAGCAAAAAGAAGGCAGGGAGGGAGAAGTGGGTTTTCTAAGATTAACTCTAAGGTAAGAGTTAGAGGCACTACCCCCTCTGAGGGGTTCATTTAAAGCATACTGGGAAAACGTCTTACCAAAAACGAGAATTGTGTAGTGAGTAAGATCTGCCAGTTGGAGTTGATCATGTGAAGTGTTTTGTTAAGAGACAACAGAAAACACAATAGGACATCCAGAAGGAAACAAAGACAGACCACATCTGGAACCAGTCCAAGTTGTGTGATGGGCACCGCCATACCCACGTCATGGTGCTCATGATAGCAAAGCTGGTTTTGTCTGAACCACAGAAGAGGTTTTTAAATAAAGCCGAGATAGCCAGCTATGGCCTGTGAGCCAAATCTGGTCTGCTGACTCTGCAGCCCACAAGATACAAATGGGTTTCTATTTTTTAAAAGGCAGGAGAGGGGGAAGGAATCACATAAAAATTCAGTGTCTCTGTATAGTTTTATTGGAACACGGCCATACTCATTCATTCACGAGTTTCTGGATGTTTTCAATATGACAATGGCAAGACTGAACAGTTATGACCCAGACTACATGGCTTGCAAGCCTAACATGTTTACTATCTGGACCTCTGAAGAAAATGTGTGCTGAGCTGTGACGTAAAGCTGTGGAAACAATGCTGAAAATGGCTCTTGTTCCACCTTGACTGGGGAAGACTGAGCCATTAGACGAAGCTGTATTTAGAATTGTTGTTATTAGGGAAAAACCAAACGTATAATAAATACTAAAGACTTGGGGGAGTGACTCAAGTGGTAGAGAGCCTGCCTAGCAAGCACGAGGTTCTGAGTAATCAACTTCCAGTATTGCCAGAAGTAATAATAATCAGTATTAATAACAATAAGTATTAATATCACCAGTAAATACTGAACAAAAACACCCTGACTTTAAAGGCATTTTGCAATGCTATTATGATAGAGAACTATACTTTCACCTTTTCAGTGATTCTTTTCATCTAATGCCTCAAAGTAAGCAAAACAGGTAACTCACTCAGCAAACAAAATGATGTGGATGCTGCAAAAAAGTTTTTTCTAAAACAGTAATTCCCTTTTTTCAGAGTCAGAGACCAACCTGATCAAAAAGCTGCTTCCCAGTGGTGTTTGGCTGGATGGCAAACTCCAGCTCTGCGTCCATGGTGGTAACACGAACATTGATCTGAAACACAGAACAGAACAAATCACATTTAACTGAGCTTTCTCCTCTCTAATGACCCTGGGCTGTCCACAGAACCTCAAACACCTGTCAGCATGGTGACTGCATGTTCCTCCCCAGAATGCTAGTCACAAACCCTGGCTGTGGAACAGCTGAGCAAGTCTCAGCAAGAACCTGTTTAAATACAAGGCCTCTTTGCCTTAATAAAGCACATTCACACTTGGGTCTAGGTGGCTTTTCAAAAAGTCTTTGCTAACTGTTAACATATTTTTTCCAAACACTACCCCAAGACCCTGTATAGCAGTGAAGAAAGCACCTAGGAGTGGTTTACACCGAGGCAGAAAGTGGAGAAGAGAGGAGAGCTAGACGGTTTGGGCAATGTTAGAAACCATCTAAATGTTGAAGATAGAAATGGTGCAATGTCCAGACACATCAAAGAGGATGGAATATTATAAAGTTATTTAAAATGGTAATTACGAAGACAGGAGAAACAGGACAGTGTGTCAAGCAAAATGGTACAAACACTATCAGTGCAAATATGTTAAATCTATCTAGATGAAAGGGGAACAAACAATGGAAGCAGTATTAGGATGGTAGGTTCACAGGGAACTGAGGTGGTCCAGGAGATGGCAGGGTCTTAACAGGGTTTCTAATGTTGGTTGTTAAAAAAAAAAAAAAAAAGCAAAAAGCCAACTGATTTCAAAGTAGCTTCTAAAATTCTCACTTGAGAAAACCCAGACTTAGATAAACATAGGAAAAACACTCAAATCCTGCTGTTTAACATCACCCATTCCACAGGAAAACATGAGTGGTAATAGCTTTTACAATGGTTAAAATCAAGAGTTGCTGGCTTCTCACACTGAACAGGTAAAAAAAAGAATAGGTGCCAGATTCTCCCCAGCACAGGTAGAGAGGTCATGAGGACAGAGCCCGACTGTGCCAGCACTTAAGAGAGTTCCCAGGAGCCAGCCAGGGCACAGACACAGGAAACACTCACCAAACCCATTTCCTACTTCAGGAACAGAGTGAGTCTTTATGAAACATTTCCCCTACCATTTGAGACTGTGATAAACAGAGACAGCTCTGACATACATCTAGGATGCCTGAAAAGCTCACTGGCTGGTTATTACTACTATGGAGAACAGATAAAAATTTCCAGATTTTTTAAAAAAAAAAAGTCTCTTCAACAAGTCCACATATTAAAGAACCGATGTTTACTGAAAAGCAAGATGAGAGATGTTTCAAGGTTTTTAACCATGTTAAAATATAAAATCCTAACTTCCTTTCATTTCTGGCTTGTGATATACATATACATTTTAAATTCAGAAAGAAGTGTCATGAAGCATTAACTGAAGCAATCATCACTCTCAATGACAGTCTAAGGATACATGTTAGAGACGAGAAAGCCATTCCTAAAGTCAAATGTTCCAGCAACAAACCCAGCTCCAAATCACACAGACATGCCAATGACAACATCACTCTCAACCACAAATGGGAGGACAAGCGACAATGCAGAGAGCCCAGATTACTTTTCTTCCTTTCCTAGTTACCAATCCAGAAACAGAACTACAGGTCAGCATGCTCTATAGCCACTACCTGCTTAAGACAAAGAAAAAAGACTAGATTTGATGGAAAGGAGAGTTGGGACTATATCTTGAACATCTCTAGACGTAGGACAGTGAGAAGATGTCACCACCTGAAACTAAAACCAGTGTTTACCTTAAAAATGTGATAGCAACCATTGTGCAAGTTAAATAGAGCACATTAACAGGAATTAAATATATTACCATCAGGTGCTGAATCAGATTCATATTTGATTCAAAGTTCATACAACTTGGCCGGGCATGGTGGTATGTACCACCTATAATCCCAGCTACTCAGGATTGTGGTCTAAGGATTGTTTGCCAACCCCAGGTGAAAAAGCGAGACCCTAACTGAAAAATGACTATATCAAAAAGGGTTGGTGACATGGCTCAAGGGGTATGAGCCCCTGAGTTCAAATTTCAGTACCACAAAAAAAGCAAGCTGGGCATGATGGTGCATACCTATAATCCCAGTTACTCCTAAGGTACAGGAAAAGGATCATGGTCTGAGTCCAGCCTGGCCAAAAGCACAAGAGCTTATCTGAAAAACAAACTAAAAGCAAAAAGACTGGGGGTGAGGCTCAAGTGGTAGAGCACTTGCCTAGTAAGCTTAAGACCCCAAATTCAATCCCCAGTACTGGGGGTAAAAAAAAAAAAGACACACAACTCTCTGAAAAAGCAAGTAGTACAATGAATGCCTTTCTGAAGTTGGTTATAACAACCCAGTAGTGTGCAGAAAGTGGACTTTTTAGAAAGTAAGTGTCCTGAAGTCTTTGTAAACCTATGAATCCATTCCTCCCATTTCAAGGGCTTAGTCTGAGCAACAGAAGCAGCAATTTTAACGGAGTTTTAGTTGGGCTTATTGTGCCACAAAATTCTCTATGGGGGCGGAGGGAAGGGGGGAATAATGACCCAATCATTGTATGTACATATGAATAAAGGAAATAAAAAAAAATTCTCTATGTATGTCCCAACACCCATGGGAAATCACATGGTCTGGCAGAGAACCAGGCGAGGTTTTACTGGCACTATAGGGACACATAAACAAGGACCAGCCAATGGCAAGCAATCCTACTTTCCCTCCACTGCTCAGTCCACTGTCCCATTCAGAGAAGCCATCCCCACACTTGAGGTGGGCACGAACCAGGAATTTTCTCTAAGAAACCTTCCTACACCAGTGTCTAGAGAGGTGGAGATCGGGAGGATTGTAGTTCAAGGTCAACCTAGGCAAACAGTTCAAGAGACCCCTCCCCCAACTCAACCAATAAGAAGCTGGGTGTGGTGGTGCACACCTGTCATCCCAGCTATGTGGGAAGCATAAACAGTAGGATCATAGTCCAACGTAAACAAGATCCTATTAGGAAAACAGGAGCACAGCTGAGTGAGACAACAGATGAGCTCTGAGTTCATGCCAGCGCTCAAGCTGCTTTAAAAGATGGGGCGCACGTTACTTGTCAGTCACAACCCACCAGTGTTTCTCGGGTGCTGCCAGCAAGTGGACAGCAGAGCTGATCACTCTGTACTACCATCCCAAGCGCTGCAGAACGTGGGGTACCCCGGAGCCCATCTCTAAGCACAGGGGTCCCAAGTCACTGGGACATCGGGAAGCACCCCCTCCCCAACACACACACATTTCCAAATGCTCCAGGAGGGTAAAGCAGGGCTCCTCCCCCACCGCGCTTCGAAACCAAAGTGTGGCACTGCCGTAAACAGCTCTAGTTTAGAAAGACTTAAGATTATTCTTGGTTTTATAAATCTTTAATAACGTGCAACATAAGCTTTCACTGAAATGTAAAACGAGGTAACAGGAGGATATACAGTATATGTTATAGAGAGAGAGGCTTGAAGGAAATCAGGCTGTAGCAAGTAAGGAAACACCTAAATCCCAACTCTTTATTATCTCAGTAACAGGCTTCCATGGTAAGCAACTGTTTTTAGCAAACTAAGAGGACTTGAATGCAACTGGTAATTGCACTCACGATAGTGCAACAAGTGGGAATATATGGTTCTGATACCCGAGGATGGTCCCCAAAAGAGCTCAAATCTGTGGGCTTAAACACTGCACCCCACAAATCCAAACCGTTGTTAAGTCTGGAGAAAAGAGCAGCTGGCTTTTAGTTTTTACTGTTTTGATAACTTCCCCAATCACACTCTTGTCAAAAGCTGTGTTGAGCACTGTTGGAGTGGCTAAAGTGGTAGAGCGCCTGTCTAGCAAGCCTGAGGCCCTGAGTTCAAATCCCGGTGCTGCCAAAAACCAAACAAAATAAAAAGAGGGTCTGAAAGGGTAGGTGCAAGTCCAGAGGCAGGGGTGTGTGCAGACGGGATGGGGTAGCTGAAAGAGAAATAACAGAACGCTGGCAGATGCCAGTCATGTTGTGGACTTTTTCCAGAAGGGGAATGGATCTCTTTAGGCACACAGGCAACAGAACAGGCTGAATTGCCCCAATGCCACCAAAATGAAAGGCCTTCTACCCTAACCTGGTTTGGTTGTTTTGAATAAACTCAGTAATAGTCCACCCTTTTAAAGCACACTAAACCTAGTATCTCTTTTGCTCATCCCTCAGGCACAGGCAGCTGTGGACAGACAACCCCATTCCTGCTCCTTCCACCCCATCACATCAGGTATAAATTAAGTAGCTGGAAACCATGTGGCCTGTGAGGCTCTCCCAAGTCTACAGTTTCTAAAACACCTGTGTCACTTCCAATGCCATCCCATGTCAGGGCTGTGTTGTTCTCTGGAAAATTATTTAGCCTTTAAATTCAAAGAGGATATATGGGGATGGTGGCCATGTTTGAAGGTCACATGTCTGGAACAGTTTTTTTTTTTCTTCTTCTTCATTTTGCTGAAAAGCTTCTTATGCTATAAGTCTGCTACATTGATACAAACTGTGGCCAATCTAGGCTTCCAGGCTCTTCTGCCCATGGAAGTTTTCCAAGGAGCATCTCAAAGAAGCAGGACTTTTTAGAATACACTTTGGGTGAGTTCTGAGTCTTCCCAATTCAAGCATCAAAATGGTATCTAAAATGCCTTCTACAAATCTGAGAAATACAGAGGCCGAACTGACAATTAAATATTATGTTATTACTTCTGCTGAATTTTTGCTCATGTCAAATTATCCCTGGTTCTTTCCCTCATTTTGGTAAATGTAGTCATGCACAGTTTCCTTTGGGAAATGTCATTTCCCCTTGAAACACTTCAAACTTAGCTTAAGATTTCCTCTATGCTGTCACTTTCACAAAATAAATGCAACCTTTAGTAAAAGCTGGGAGAGAAGGGACAAGTGCAAGATAAATTCCCCCACAAACTTTCAGGCAAGTGACTGAGACTCCTAGACAAGCTGGGTAACTTTAGCAGCCAAAGCACAGCAGTGACTGCAGCGATTTTCTTATTATACTCAACCAGGAAGACCATTTAAAATA